TGAGGATTTCTGAAATAAAGCGGCGCACATAGTAGTATGGCCCTAAATAATAATTATTTTCATTGTGACCACTATACCCGTCTCGCGGCTTCCGGGCTGTTTCTTACTATTGAACTGGTTAAGTATGCTAATATTCTTAACATATTAAAGGACTATACTTCGTTTTTGCCGTCGGTTTTCCAGGCCTAATTTTATTCTCTTTTACTCAGAATTTTTCCATTAGGTGTTGACTACTTACTTATTTTCAACTGCTTGCTGTGTGTCAAATTCTTTCCTTTGTTCAGTTCAGCTTGCTTGTTTTCATGTTATCATTTCGATCTTGCTCTGGCTGCCTTCACACATGGAAAATATCAAAATAATAATGAATGAATTTAAAATCGATTTTTCAATAAGCCATAACGATCAGATTTAACTTATACAATACAGCTCACAGAATGTGCAAAACGTGAATGTCGCGGAAATCCGGGAATGTCGCGGACTTCCGCGGAATTCCCGGAATTCCGCTACATTCACGGAGATTTATTCCGCGACATTCACGGAGATTTTGCACATTCTGTGAGCGGTATTGTAAATTGAACATTGGCATTCATCTAACGGAAGATATGGGAAAATCTTTAGTTTCTGCCCATACGGGGCTCACTTGCGTTCCTTCCTTCGTACGGGCTATGTTGAGTCATCATGGAACGGCTCCATGAGGAGGGAGAATCAGAATCATTGAAGTCTCAGTTATTTTTGAGGCGTTTCTTTCTCCTTAAATCAAAAATCACCTCTATTTTTTGAAAATATGTTTCTAGATTTAATAAGGGGAATGTTGCTTTAGAAAAAGCGTGTTTCTTGCGCTATGTTCTTATCAAAACAAAATTATTTTTCAAGACACTTATCCCTGTGTTTATCAGAGTTTTATAGTTTACACATGTGTCGAATATAATTATTGATTTTGCGTATTTTGCTTTTGAAAATAGAAATCGTGCAGACAGCGAAATAATCGTTGTTTTTATGGTATCTCTGATAGTACAAAAAACCTTTTGATCTTGACTCAAACGTTTCTGCATTATTTTATGGATTGAAAGATAGTTTGACTGTAATGATGCATATTTCTCCGCTCTGTAATCCATCTTAAGTTTGTGGAAGTACTTCACCTTCTACATTACATTTTCTTTTATATATGTATAATTCAAACTTTGTAAATTCCTCACACTTCCCAGTTTCCCTCCAAAAGTAGTAAATACGCATGAGACTGAATTTTTTTTCTGAACAACCCTCTAAAATATCTGATTTTACCAAAACTCTGTCAATGCTGAGTTGGTATAGGGTATATGAGGATGCTGATTATGAATGGGTCGGCTTTAGCCGAATATGTCAGCAAGTTTGAGATATGGTTGCGCTAGTCGTTCGATAAATCATTCGAATAATTATTCAAATTCGACTTCCAAAATTCGAATATATGTGATATTCATATTCGATGTTTTTAACTTTCCAATTTTATTCGGTATTCATTCATTCGAGAATTTTTGAATCTCGAATCTATTCGACATTCGTTTATTCGAGATTTTTTATTTTCGAGATTAGTCGATATTCGTTTATCAATTTTTCCTTTTCGAATTTATTCGATAATCATTCATTTAATGAAAAATTTCGAATTTAACCAAGTATACAATACACGAAGGTGAATTGAAATTTCTTGTTGCACAAAAATTTCTTATTTTAGATACTGTTCAATTGCAATAAACGATTGTGCTTGTAAATGATTCAATTCCCCAGAAATTCCCTGTTTCACATACTGGTTATTACAGTATATAGCGATCGCTAAGCCGCTCAGTCACCATCGTACCGATTCCAGCGTGTAATCACTGCCTCGCATGCTAGGAAAAAAGTGCAAAAGTGCGTTTCTGTCATGTACCCGTTGAGTTTTCATCTACTCTCGTGCTTACACTGCGAACGTGTTTCAAACGTAAAATATTTCTTATGCCAGAGAGTGTACACAGCTGTCACGTTGTCACCATCTCCTTGCACGCGCGCGCATGACGCATTTCTCTCAAAAATTGATAATTCTTTATTTTTCATTTTTTTTGATCAGCCTGGAAAATCTTTCATCAGTCTTCATGCTATTTCTTTCAAAATCATATCACAAAAAATGATTTTTGGACTTGACTGTCCGTATTTTGTGCTTATCCTTCTCATAAATTCACGGCGATCGTCTATGCGGTGTTCGCACACAATTTATTGAATTCAATACATCCACATATGTAATCACATTAGTCATGTCGGTGAACGCATGTGTTTTTATTTGCTGGACGCTCTCTGAATTTGGTCACCCGACGAAAATTCGTTGTTAAAGCCAGTTTTTTCCACTCCACTTCTCATCATATTCGACTCTCAACAGTTTGAGAAGTCAGGGTAAATAAGAGACCGATGGAAAGATCTTATGTTCAGATTCTCATGACTTCAGTAAGAAATCGCAAAAGTCATATTTTTCGTCATCACAATGGTTGCTTCTAGAGATTTTAAGCTAGAACGCCGTCTGACCAAACTTCCAAATTTTGAGGGCCTGTCAAATTGAAATTTTTTTTGTAAACTGTAGGTTGATAAGCTCATTATTTAGTAAAAGCTTTTATGAATTGATTTCATCAGAATGAGCTTATTCATCTCGCTGAAAATCCTGAAACCTGCACAAAAAACTCAATTTGCCATTGTTTTACAGCAGCTGTAGGTATACGGTAGGATTACTGTAGCACTAAGGATCAAAAAACCATGAATGTACACTTTTGCTGGTGTTCAATCTACATTTGAATGTCCTTTTAAGCAAATCGATTTGTTCATATCTTATTTTGATTTTGGTAAAAATATCGCTGTCATATTCGCATGGTACGAGTTTTAGTACTACAGTAACCATACCGTATCCTGATAGATACTGTAACTTAGCGTTGTCTATTAAACTCGTTTGGTTGAGTAATAAACAACCGCTTTATTTTTATCTTCATGAAACATGTGATTTCGTCCATGGGGTGAAGAATTTTGTGGTTTTTTGATCCTTAGTGCTACAGTAATCCTACCGTATACCTACAGGTGCTGCAACACAGGATTACACTATTGCAATCAATATTTCGCTATACTTTGCAAAAGGCATATCGTTTTTGTGGCCAAGATTTTTCTGGTGTATCGTTTTTGTTTTTTGAGGGGTTTTTTTAAACGTTTACGGCTGAGAGTCAAAGTGGACTTCCTTAAATTTTGCGAAATTTAAGGGGGACCCCGTTTTCAAGGAGCCTAGAAACGAACTCATGTCGGGCCTTGCTCCCTAACTTCTCCAGTGTCAAATGAATCATTTTTCTTTGATTCGAACAAGAAATTAGCTATCGTGCGAGTAGATGGGACACGTCCCTAGGAGCCTAAGTATGAGTATTGTTTTCCTCTTTGCACAAATATATTCGTATACCCCCGTCGATTCCCTTTCACTTCTAGTTGGCCTCCCCATCCCTGTCACCCCCCTTTGCACGCACAAAACACACACACTCCCGTGCCGTCGCCTGCATTTTATCCCCTTATTACGAATATTCGCCCCCTAATGAGAATTTTTCTCCTAGATTCTGCTGGAAAATGAAATTGTCAGCTGGTATTGATTGCGGCTAGGTTCCGGTTTCTCATAAATAAGCAATTCTATGAGAGCAAATTAATGAATAAGCAATGCAATCTAAGGTGGCCTGCTATCATGAAGTACTTTCTGTGTAGTCAGTTTTCTGTCTCTGTGTCTAAGAGTGATATTTTCGTGGATCAAGAATATTTGGAATTCAGACTAACATCGAGTATCTCATTATTGTCTTTTCTTGAGATTAAAGCCACTACTTCTAGGTTTTCATATCCCAAGATCGAATGGTTTTCAACAAAACTGTGATATCAATTCGGCAACAGCTTACAATTAGTCTTTTCAATACTGAATTAGGCCTGAATTTAAATGTCTTTTTTAATCTTTCAAAGTTATCTGTTGAAAAAAGATGTCGGAGTTTATTTCTCACTTCATGTCGTATCTCAGATTTCGCAATGGTCCTTACATTATAGAATAATAAGTCAAATACCAAACTAACGTTCTTTTCCAATCTGGAATCAATGCAAAATCTGAAATTACTAATTTGGAGGTATCCGCTGTTTATTTATTAAAAGTTTTTGATTTCCTTGTCATCTTACATCTGAGACAAAAAACGCTTTTCACATGCTCAAACTCCTTTGCAGTATTCTCAAACTCTAGAGTGCTGCATTGAATTTATAACAAATTGGCAAAATTTTCCATTATAGTAGCCCTATAAATAGTGACAAAAACATTCTTCAAATTACTAAAACAATCGTATCATTTCATTTTTTCTGTTGGAAAGAAAAATCTGATGCAGATAAAGCAATCATTGCAATTTTTTTCGACTGTATTATATTTTTAAACTGAACAAAGCTGTATATTTTGTAAGCCTTATCCATTCATAGTTTTTTTTCAAAGGCTGTTATTCACAAGGCACCTGTACAGCATATTCTGCAAAGCAATCAAGCTGATGCTAGCGACACATGAATCGGCGTTATTCATTGTTATCACGGTTATAATATGATTGCTTTGGCAAATATATAGTCGTTACCGGGCAAGACTGCGAATATCCGCTGTGCTTGTTTTTATCAGATAATCTGCGAGCCAGTGATTACCCAGAAAGAAGATTCTTTGCTTGTGTTATAGTAAAAATTGGCAAATTCAAAACATAGCTCTGTTTTGCTTTTTGGAATATTTATGGTCAGTGTTCGCTAAATCTAGGTAACTGGGTTTTTTATGTGTATACGGATTGGAAGGCCTCGTTTAAACCATTACCCAAACGGCGACGCGCATTATTTATTCGTGACAAAGTTATTTTACTCTGAACCCTCGCCCAGACCGTACTTCTCATAATACTCAAGAATGATATGGTCCGCTGGGAAAGATGCGCTTTTGAGCGAGAATTGAGAGTTGATCTAGGCTAATGAATCATACAAGAATGACATGGTTAGAACTCGCCAATAATTTCTCAAATATAGATCAGGTTTGTCCAGACACTGCCTGTATGAATGGTTCAATTTTTTCCTATTAGGGTCTCTCAAATATTAATTTTTTGCAAACTTTCTTTCTTTATCCACTATTTCGACTACCAACTGAACTTCCGCAGCAATTTTATTGCTGGTTTATTACCCAAATTTCCGAAAATTGTTCGCCCAATCTTCTGTTTTGCAAATAGTGAAAAATCAGGTTACAGCTGATCAACAGACTTCGTCAGATTTGCTACCAAAAACTATCGTTTTTTTCAAACATTTGCACCCCTTACTTTCCATTTATTTCTGCCCTTATATGCATGTATTTCGATCCACAATTCAAATAGTTAGTTCTTCATTTTATGCAAAGACCGTGCAGAAATGTGCAACTGAACATTCTTTGTGTATGTGCTCTGTAATTTTTCATGCTGCCCTCGAACAAGCCAATCTCGAAAATGGTCGTTTCGCTTTGCAAAAACTCCCCCACTGCACTAGGCTATTACATTGCGATCTTCTAACGAACGTCACTACAGGATCATCTCGGGGGGGGGGGGGGTAATGGGAGCGTTGCAATGAAAGTGGCTTATCTCATAAAGCTCCTTATCTAGAGCGAATCATCTTCTTGACATCTACTTGTAATTCTTCCTCCGTTCTATATAATTTCAAAGCTAAATGAAAGCAGACTCAACTTTTCTTTTGGTAAACAAAAGAATAACTCATTACGTGCTGGATTCATTCAAAAATCTCATCTATAGGACGTATTTTTTTTCTCTGCAACAGATCGATAGAATTTTGAGGCTAAACAGATAGATAGTTCTGGTCTTCTGTTGCAGAACAAAGGAATAACGTTTTGAGCCTGCCTTTCTCACCTAGCATGTAGACAATGTCCAGAATTTAACAACTTAATTTTTTTTTATTGTGTACACTGTTTGGAAAGATTCAATTAAGCCTACCTAATCAGCAGCTCATATGGTTCCTTTGTGGCTGAAAAAAATCAATTTTGAACCCTCGCCCAAACCGTAAGCTCTAGCGTAGTCCGTTCGGAAGCAATACGGTCCGGGCAGGAGTTTAGAGTAGAGTATCTCGGGCACCAATGTATGTATACTAATATATATCAGTGCATTTACTGTAATGTATACTAATGAGAACATATAGGCTGCTGCATGACGAGGGCACAATATCTTTGGGCGCGAACGCGGCTTTATTAGCCGCAGAGCGCATGAGACGCAGGACTTACAACGGTGAAGATACGCTCGCACGCGTTCGCGCCCGCTCAATTAGTATCGCTTCTGCGCCTTCGTATGCAGTAGCTTTACTAATATAGTCATATGTACTCATTTTTAGTAACTTTTATGGTAATTTCAATCTTTTTACTTGATCCAAACTTGCTTTGATTAATTATTGTTGTCATAACTTATATTCAAACAATAGCCGCTAGAACGGGCTGGAAAAACGCTATTCAAACTCCCGCCCAGTACGGTAGTCGAGCATGCTCATTGCCTTGAGATTACGGTACTGGGCAAGACTTCAGAGTTGAATTTCTCGGTTAGGAATGAATCATATGAGCTGCCGTTTTGGCAGTAGGCTTATTCAATGCTTCTCAGTCAAAACCCACATCAAGACCGAAGTATTTTGATCCACCTGAACATCGCCTTCGGTGGATTGAAGATGGTATAAAAGATTGGTTTCAATGATCACAAAAGGGCTTTGAATCCCACGTGCTGGAGCCATTTTCTAGCTCCATTCAATTACCGCTTCGAAGCCGCCCTTCCTTTAGAAAAAACTAGTCATTTCAAGCCTTGTATGTGCAACCAACTCTTCTGCAGAACACATAGACACGTATTATCGTCACTCTCGGGGGGCTATCGATCTCAGCGTTTGCAAACGCGTTGTGTGTGTTGCTCTTGTAGGGCATGTCACATTTCGAAAAATGTGTACTTTGAATTTTTATCGGAAAAGCCATCAATGTTGCCACCATATGCTTCCTTTGTTATTTACGAATTTTGTCTTTGATCTTGCGCTCTTGTTAATCATCTTCTGTTCCGCCTTTTTTGAAGTGATCCTGGTGGAAACCGGTTCCAAAATGCAGATTTTTGTCGGAGTTATGTTTTTGAGTCGGTGTGTGGGTATGTATAATGTAGTTGTGATTTACTTCTTTCTACGCTACAAAGTTGAGATAAAAGGAAAAGTTCCGGTAATGGGGACATAAAATATGTAGTAGTTTACTGTCAGCTCATTCTTGGTGAAACACTATGACTACCAAGGACAAGAAGAACCATACTGAAGACATAAACTTCCCTATGAGGATTCCTGTTCGATTACCCGACGAATCACTTTCTGCCAGTTTTGTACTTTTTGAAAGAAACCCGTAAAAATTGTGCCCGCCCACGTCGCCTTTACAAAGAGTACTTACCTCCTTCGACACCAACTTTGAAATTCACCTTTGGTCGATTTTTCACTCATAAGAAAATGCGCCAAGCCTTTTCTGTTCTGATAAATTCAGCAAAAAACCAGCTATGACAGAGTGCTAGGGACCATAAAAATTTGCCCATTTCAGTCAGAAGCTTTTCCAATATTCCCCAAAGATTCACAGATACTGCCGACAGTACTTACTTAGAGACAGCCTCCGGCCAAAACCTATGCTATCCTGATTAGTATCTAGCCTGCGAGCAGGCTTTGGGAAAGGAGCATTTGCTTTGGTCCGGGTCTCCAATGTGACCTTTGAAAGGAGAAAATGGGCTTTGAAACCCGCGAAACTGCTATCAAGCCACGCCCACCTATAAACTTCCACCCATGCAAAGACTGAAAGTCGCTCGCGCCTCCGGGACAAGGTTCCCGAAAATCGGGTTTTTGGAGGATTTTGCACATTTTGCACTTGATAGCTGTAATCAGGACCCCGGAAAGGCCTAGTGGCAAAAACATGGAAGCCTAAAGTTTGGGTGGATATGTCTTTTATCGGGATCAATTGCCATGTTCTACTAAAAGCCGTGGTTTCCATTTTTTAGTGTTAGTGAACGACAGAGTCCAAAATTTATCCTAAAAATTTTAATTTATGGCAAAAATTAGAAAAACGCGGATTTGTGTACTTTGCATTTGAACTTTTTTGAGCGGCTCGCGTTTCGTTTTCACATCTCATCGTATCGCAGTGGGGAAATTTCTTGACGTCGTCTTTGTTTTTCATCGACGTTGACAGCAAACTGCGACATTTTCCCCGCGTTGCGTCATTGGACTGATTGCCCACATTTTCTCTCCCCATCTGACTATCGCTTTAACCACGAAATACAGATGAGCACTTTTTGAAACACCGAATCAACCCAATTTCCCAGAAAATTTGAAAATGAAAAATGTCTTGGTGTCATTGCTCTGAGTGGTTAATTGCCAGTACTCAATTCACAGTAGTTTTCCTCTGAATTTCGGCACTGCTTTTTTTTTTCGTGTATCCCTTTGTATCTGCATTCAAATGGGCTGAAAAACCCCACAATGACAGTTTCTACCCTTTCACCTGTCGTAAACAATGGCAGTTACAGCTGTCATCTGCCTTTTTTCACCTCATTCTCCTAGAAACCACAAATTACATAGATATGCTGGAGGTATCTAATTTTTATTGAATCTGATTCTTTCTCACTTTTTTTGGAAATGCCAGTGCACCAGTTTTTCTTCATCTATCCATATATTCCTTTGTATTGGAGAAACCTCTAATGTGGTTTTTTTGCAAACTTTCTCAACATTTCTTTTTTTTCAATTCATACATCCCATTCTTTGAGTTACTATTTAAATGTATTGTTTGGGATAACTCTCCTTCAAAGTGAAACTCAAAGGGAACACCTTTTTCAAGATTTTGACAAAATCAAAGCCCAGACGAATTAGAGCCCTTGGCTCTTTATGTGGAAAATAATTGGATAATCTTGAGTAAGTCATTGCCTAAAAGGCAGCTCATATGATTCGCTCATGGCCAGAAGATCGACAAGATGTCGCCATACCGTACTCCTTCTGAGCGGACTACGTTAGGGCTTACGGTCTGGGCGAGACTTCAAAGTTGAATGTCTCGGCCGCTAATGGATCACACGAACTGTCGCTCGAGCGATGTTATAAATGAGGTCTTCCAATCAGTATCCAAGTTAAAAATCCACTGCTTTTAACTCAAAGGTGCCCCCCCCTTTGCCCTTCCCCTCCCCCCATCCTTTCTCTCATATTGTTCGTCGTTACTTCTATTCATTCTTCGCTGTGCGCGTCCAAAAATCTATCTGCTCTACCTAATCGCTAATTTTTTCAGGATGTCACCCTCCGGGGGTGATCCATATCGATCGCCTCCATTAATTCGGAAACGAACGACGTTTCCACTCACTATACTCCTACGAAAACTACTCGGCCTTCTCACTACAGCCCTGTTTGTGATCGTGATATTTGCTTGCATACCACTCTACCTCACTTTAGGCATCATTGGCTTTGTTAAGCGAAAATCGCGACGGTGGAGATACATAAGCGGGTAAGTTTTGGCCAGAATTTTACATAATCACTGTGATATTCGAAAAAGTTGATTTCTAGGTATTGCACACATCAGTGGCCAATATCTGGCTCGGGTCCAGATCTGGCGGGTATTGTGGTGACGGGTAATGTAGATATGGATATACTAAACGATGCGGTAAGTTTCTAATTTTCTGGCAGATTAGCCAAATTAGCAAACAGATTTTCTCTTCAGATTCAGCGGGTCATAGAGGATAGACGTTCGAATTTGTACCAAAATTCGGCCAGTGACGTTGTGGCCAATTTAGGAAAAATATGGGATAATAGGTATTTTATCTCTCAACATATTTCTTGTGAAGACAGTTTTTGAGAATTTTTAGTAAATTTCAAATAAAGAATGACGCCGATGTGTTAACCCTCCAACAACAGAAAAATTCTTTGCCTTCTGATGGCACAACAATGTCAGTAGTTCTTGAATTCGCTCATTCTCTAAAGGTCAGAGCTTTTTTTTCGTCTGTCCATGTTTGCTAGTTAATTTCTTCCAGAATTTGAGCACTTCGTCGTTAATAATGATGTCAACAGCGGCTGACTGTGCCTATATTTGTGTGCAACGTTTACTGTGCATATGTTTAAACGAAAGGACATCTTTTGAGGTGAGAGCAGAAAAAAATTTGTGTTTTTGATCTAAAATTTTAATTCAACTGGCTTAGCGGCTGGAAGGCGTGGCTTTGTGACCTAATTAAGGCACCTCGCGCCCGCGACGCAGTCTGCGCCTCTCCCGCGCGCGTGCTGTCTGATCATTATCTAGCTTTAGTTAGGTCACGAAGCCCCGCCTTCCAGCCTCCAAGTCAGTTGAATCAAAGGGTAGTAATCGTCTGCCCGGTCTAAATCGCATAAAACCTAAACACGAGTGGCTCCTCGGTGAAAACTTAAATTTATTCATTGGTTGCAAAAAATCTGTCCCAGATATTTGTTTTCAGGGAGAAACAGAAGGCGAAAAAATTCTCTTCCCTTAGAATAAAATCTTATATATAAAGCTGAATGTCTGTCTGTATGTATGTCTGTATGTCTGTCTGTACGTATGTGCGGAATAGAAATTTTTATTTCTGAACCGATCGGGACCAAACTTGGCACACATATACTTCGGGGCAGGGAGCGTGTCATAGGCTACTTTTCGTTATCGATCGATATCGATTTTATCGATTTTTTGCAAAATTTGAGCTAGGGGGCTGGGATTTTGCACAGGGGGTAATCGTAGCTCAAATTTTGCAAAAAATCGGTAAAATCGACATCGATCGATAACGAAAAGTGGACTATGACACGCTCCCTGCCCCGAAGTGTATGTGTGCAAAGTTTGGTCCCGGGCGGAGCCGGGTTTGCCATCTAGTTATTCTATAAATTTATAGAATCACTCTATTAATTTACAACCGGAAGCAATATTACGTAGCAGTATTACGTATGTAATATTTCAGCTTATGTAGACCACTTTTGAGACTATCATTCTCTTTAATCTGATCAAAAGAATGGTGTGAGAGAACTTTTTTACATGCGTTGTCAATGATTCTCGAACCTCTTCTCAAAAAGTCTGCAAACATTCTGAGGATAATCTTGAGTGACTACTGCTCGGCCACACTTGCATGCATCAACAATTTAGAAGCTGAGAGTTTTTCATGGTTTGGTCATCATGCGACATTAGATATGCTTATTGTTATTCAGTATTTGTTGCTTCCATCGGCCGTTTGAAGTCTTGCTACAATGTCATTTGAAGACATCAAACTTTTTTCGAAGAAAAGAAATACTAACACAAATAATTATTCAAAAAACCGGAGAATAGGAACATTAGCTTAGACATTCAGCCAAATCTGGACGAATGTAAGGCTTTCATTGGGAAATACTGAGTCATACGGGCAGCTTATTTGATTTATTCGTGGATGCAAAATTGAACTTTGAACTCTCGCTTAGTACCATAATCTTTTGTGCTGCTGGCCCGCTCTGCAATTACGGTATGGGCAGGAGTCTGAGATTGCATCTTGGTCACTTATGAATCATAACAACCGGCGCTTGAGCAAAGGCTCAGATGGGTATCTCTAATTCTCTAGCGAGAAGTCCAAAAATGACCTTGCCCTTCTATCTTCTTTTATCACAAGCTCGCTTTTTTGAAAATTGAAAAATGCTCTAATGCAGTATAATGTATAGGCGATTCATGGCACGTAAAGACTGCGGACGTATCGCCCTGATCAAGCGCTCTTTCGTTTCTCTTACCATCTGCTGTCTCTCTCATGCGCGAACTATCTTGGTGGGACGCAACGGCGCCCAGTCTTTGCGTGTTATGAATCGTGTATATGTACATTGTATTATAGTTCAACATATGGCACAACTGAAAGAAACGCTTAAGTTCTGGAAATATTGAATAGTAGCCGCACATATTATATGGTATTATGAAAATTCAACGAAATTTTATTAAAGTTTAGATCGAGCCGCATGCTCCGGCGCAAAGTTGGCAGCAACATGCTGCTATGTGTTTCTCGCAAACTGCTCTGTGTACATGTCTCAAAGTGAGTTAGGTCCTTAGCGGGATCTTAGGATTGATCAGATTGCTCCAGTTTGCTGCTGGTGGACCATTCTCGCTATTGTCACTAGCCTTACATGGTCAACAACCCGTGTGGAAGTATTTGGAATCCAGAGAGCCTGCACCGGGACGCAATAGGTAAACTAACTTTTTGAAGCTATCGTGATATCCAAGGTGTTTTGAGTTCAGAAGACCCTTGAAGCCACCACTAATACATCGCGATTCTTCATCAGTGCTTATGGATGCTGGCCAGGATGATGCGGGATCGGATGCGAAGAGCTATGCTCAAGCTCACCGTAGTTCCTCTTTGCTCAGAAATGGTTAGTTTTCAGCTGAAAACTACAAGTTCAATTGAATAAGAAGTTACTTTCGTATTCTTCGTAGAGTACTAGGTACGAGCTCATCGATCAATATATCGATTTGTTGAATTGTTTGCTAGTAGTCATAGATAGCTAGATTAAAAACAAAATTGTCTTGTCCTCTGGGCTTTTTACAGCAGTCCATCTTCCTTCATCGATCGATACATCGATCGTGTAATTGTTGTCGCTTGATCGATATATCGATCTTTTCAGCGCCTACGCCCACTCTGCATCGTCGATGTTGGACCGCTGTGAAGCATCCAGAATTGATAGTTCGTGCCGAGAAACTCCTACGATCATCCACGTCCGAACTATTGCTGGCACTTGTGGCCGGTGCCTTACGAAACTATTTTCGGGAGCAGGTACCTTGCAAATATGCGCTTTGCCACATCCCAAAAATGCTTTTAGGGTATACTCCATCCACCGGATGTTGACTGTGTAACCCCTGGTTCAGATCGTGGTTGTCATCCAATAGGAGATCGATGCGAGACGAGCTTGTTACCACTTCGACTACCTACAAGTGTTGAAGGTATCAGACCTTTTCCCTTGAATGCAAATGTAAAATAGAAGTTGAAGAATTTTTTCTACTCTAATCTCGAATCAATTCTGCGTACACCTACAGAAAATATAATAGATTCATACAATCTTCTTGTTATTCTTACAATGTTAATGCTATTCTTCTTACCATTCCCTAGCTAGCAGTAGGCAAATTTTTTTCGTGAAAAATTATTTAATGTTGGGAGAGCTATAGTTTAATTTTTTACACTATAATCATGGTTTTTTCTTCTCCCTTTTTTGACTTACCCTCCTGTATCTGGACCTCACCTTTTTAACTGGTGTTGTGGGTAAGATGGTATATCAAGGGCTGATATGGGCTAATTTTCTGCCACTGTAATGTCAGCTACGACTTTCGATGGTAAATTTTCAATAGTGGTCGAATCTAGTCGTGTTTCACAAATGTCTACGTAGATGAGTTTCAAGGTTTTCAATTTAGTGAGCTTGTCTACATAATTTCTGAGAAAGAAGAATGGCTTACGGACACACTTCTAAAAATAGTAGAATTTTATGTTACAGTGTCTGAAAGAACATTCATGGAGTTTGGATTTTTTTCTCTGAATATGTAGAATTACTTGCATGAAATAGTTTTCATATCATTTGCTTAGACCTTATTTTTGTTTTATCAAAAATAGAAGCAATAGATCCGTAAACTTTCTCGGCACGAATTGTGATTTTTTTCCATGTTATGCATGGGTATTAGATTCGGATGTCTATCAGTTACAACACTTGATTATAATAACTGGTTTCATAGAGATACCATTATTCAACCTATAAAGAGTAAGCTAGGCCAGAAAAAAATGTATTTTAGTAACATTAAAATTCTAATGTATTGCTGAAACGGTCGGAAAATGCTGTTTGCTATAATTCTTTTGCATTAGCATTTCTTCACGAGTACAGATTGTAGAGCAAATAAAGCTATAACTTTACTCGCAGATATCATGAGTGAAAAAATTACTTCAATGTAATCATTTAATCAAGATAATTATATTCAAATGAATTTACAAGCTTTGCTTCGAATGTAAGCAAGCGAATAACTTATAATCAACTTTCATCCTTTTCAGGAGCAATTCCAAGGCTGTGGGCCGTACAACGAAACATCGCTAAAGTTATGGAAGGACCCATATCTGGTGCTGTAACAATCGTACAGTGTATTGGTACGTAAATACTGAAATTCTGGAGTTCCAGTCTGACTTAGTTTCTAAATTCTCGAAAAAATTTTGAATTTACAGTCTTTTAAATCTAGACTCAATTTTCTCTCCACTCTAAAATTTAGCTCGAAGTTGTCTACCAGCATCAATAGCAACTAGTGCATTTCGACTGGTCTATAGATCGCATGCAGTATTTTTTGCCTTCTATAGAGTAGCTGCAAATAAGGTCAGTTCACGTATTTATCAATTTTTTATTTCATCAAATAAGCCGAAATTTAGCTCAATGCTGATGAGGCCATCCAGACGATGTTCATTTTCCCATCATTGGCCCAATCAGTCCGTGCAGCTTTCGTCTTTATTCAACATGGGAATGGCATAGACCTGAGTATATCTCTTTGTAGCAGGACTTTTCCAGACCCAGAGAAAGTCATAGAAAGCTTTCAGGTGAAATCTAGAATATTTTTCTGAGTTTTTTGACTATAGCTTTCTTTCAGCGCGAATCGCAGCTTTTGCTTGATCATCTTTCGCTTCGACTTCTTTCACTTCCTGAAACTACCGTACTACCTGGTATAGCTCTATGTTTACGCCATGAAAGGACCGAGAACGAGGTGGACAGTGAGATGTTCGGTAGCCCATTCTTCAGTCGCGATGTGAGTCCCCAAAATTTTTGTTTTCCAGTAGAAAACGTTTCAAGTAACTATACAAAATCCTAAGAAAAGAATGAGAGTCCTACTTGAGGTTACCGATGAACAATTGGATGTGAATGATCACGAATATTCTCTAGAAGAACTTTATCAACTTCTAGATGTAGTGCAGACCGAGCTCGATAGCATGCGATCCAATCCCGAAATGGTTAGTTACTCTATTTTTATTATATCTGAAGGTTACATGTCTGGATATTTAGGCTTCTTGCGTAGATACTACTTATGAAGCCTCAATAAGGCATTACATAAGCTGCAGTTCATAAAACTCATTCATAGTTGAAAATTCAACTCCGTAATCTCGCCCGCTACCGTAGGCGACGACGCGACTGGCTCGAGCACCATACTGGGCGAGAGTTTGCAGTGGGATTCCGCAGCCACTACTGAAACATATGAGCTGCCGCCTAGGCGGTGGCTAGTTGGAACTCCCTATCTGTCTACCAGTGGCGTACTGAGGGGGGGACGCCCCTTTCGGGGTTCTGAGCTCGCGAAAATTTTAGTGAGCATACCAAAAAAAATCTCGGAGTGCGTGGCTCACGCCACGCACCTTCATTGGAAAAACTTTTTGTCGCCCCTGTCTACATAAGAAGCTAAATATCCAGGATTTGACTAAGCGCTATATTTCATTTTTTTCAGGGTTTACGCAGCCAATACATCGATCGACTAACCCGTTTGGAGCAGAAAATGCAGAATTTTCATGAATGTATTTCTGAAAAACTGAGCGCCGAGAAGGTGAAGTTACCCGGGCAGTCGGATGACGATGAGGTTGGCGATGCGGTCGCCAACGTCTTGGCACCATATAAGGGTGATCCGGGTGAGTACAGTCAAAATATGGAAACTACAGTAGTGCCCTAGTGCAAGATGATATCATGGTAGACGTCAGGCTTCTATCTATCTCCCTTCTCTACTGACAATGCCCTCATTTACAATACTAAAGAGTAATGTTGATAATGTTCGACTAAAGTACAGCAGCACTTGCACTCTCAAGAGCTCAACGTTCGCTCGAGAGGCATCGACTGAGCACTTAACTCTTCGCGAGTAAAGGGGAGTAAGTGGAGAAAAGAGAAAAAATTAATAGTTTTGATTTTCTTACGTTAGCTTATTTCCATGAATGAGTCTTTCCTATGGTAACTTCTATTCAAACGGCAACTCGTAAAATTCATTCGTTATCGAGAATTTTGGCTCCAAACTCTCGTCCGTACCATACTCGAAGGAGACGCTGATTGGTGGTCTCGTGAGAACTACGGTATTGGGTGAAAGTTCAGAGTTGAATTTCTCGGCTCCAAATGATGCATGCAATCTCCCACTTCCCACTCCCATAGCGGCTTACTCAAGGCCTCCCACATCGTTTTTCAAATGAAATTGGTACCAAGATTCCCTGAACGGTCTCTTCAAGTTACCATTTCAGGCTCATCTGGTCGTCGCTTCAGTCGTGAATACGCGCGAACAGAAACCACGACAAGTCGAAAGAATTCAAGAGCATCTCTCTGATCCGACAGAGTCGTCTCATTTCAGCAGTCACCTACGTAATTGCACTGTTTATAGTTATCGTGGCTAGGCGATGGCGCTACACCTTCTTCTGCCTTTTGCAGCTTTTTCAGACTATACCACCCCCATCTTACTTTCCTACAAAATTCAAAAGAAAGTGGTGCAATTACACAAAATGACTGTTGAAGTGAAGATTAGAGTAGCTATTTTTCCAACCAAAGACGAAATTATTACACTACTAAATGTCTTACCAGTCAGCTTTCAGCGCCTTGAACATTCCATTTTGTTCTTCATCTCTTTCCTTCTGGGCTCCAGTTTTTACGCCAAAGAACAATTTTTTCTTGCATTTTTATCATATCGTGGCCGGTCTCATCTTCATTGACGGGTTTCACTGGAGCTTGTTATTTACTTTTTGCCAAGCTGTCAGGTTTGCTTCCTCCTATATTAAACGCTCCTTCCATAATTCTGTGGCTGTAAAGCTCTGTGACGAATTCACTTTCATATTTGCCGCATTGTATACATATCCTAGTTTTATCGCAAATAAATTTTCCGTGATTGAATCAGAAACGACACTGTGTAGGTTCTAATATCATGACTTATCATGACTTATAATAAGCCGCTAATCTGTCCGTTTGCGGAGTTGGTTTGTTACAAAATCAAAATGAGGAATTATTACAGTTTTGGATACTTAGCGGTCAATTTGATTGCAGAACGATCCTGCAGAATACTTCTGAGAATTTGAATACAAATGCACAGCATCCGCTCCGCCCATCATGAACTGTACGTTAATCAAGGAAGACAAAAGATGAAACTTCCTATGAAAGAAATTGCTGTCAGTCACTCATGCTGTTTCCTCATAAGTATCCTGCTGAATAGTGATCTCTCAAACGAGCTTCTGCCGCGTCATCAATAGGATATTTATTACGAATGAACGAAAAATCACCAAAATTCTTTGCGAGGTCTGGTATGGATCTGCTTTTATAAACCACAAGTCATCACTTGAATTTATTCTTCAAATGTTTTGAGCCACACAGGTTTTACAGATGGTCTTTATTGATGCATTCACGGCCTAGCGTATCGACATCTTCGCCTTTCAAAAGTCATCCGTGAATTCAACCCATCAAGCACTCCTCCTAGTGCTGTTAAGCCTTCTCTCAGCTTTTACCATAAAAATCACCAAACAGAAGATGAGCATATCGAAAGACCACTGCTGTTAATGGTATTTGACACCGGAAATGATGTTCGTGGCGGAAGAAATAGACTATACTATTAGTGGATAGAATCTACAGACCGCATAACGATATGAGCGGAAAAAATCGGATGCTATTGACTACCACTCATTTCAACTGTTCGTTTCTGGACTTTTTGCAGACATCCAGAAAGCCTCCAACGCTTTCCTAGCAAAGGTCTTCTTCTAATTAATCAAGTTTCACATTTTATATCGAAGTCATCTTCATTATTCAACCCTGCCTAAAGCTGGAGACAATTTACGTCCTTCACCAGATTTTTTGATGTGAGTACTGAGTGCTATCCCGGTTTCCACAATATTATCGCATTCAATCAAGGCATTCTAGTTCATAAACAACTCTCACTTTTGCACAATCACCTATTCCATGCGGGAAGAGTACACAATTTTCTGTTATACAGTCCGTCTGCTTCGGACAAGCTGTTTTTTTGTTATCGCCGTTAGAGATGTTCACAGTTACGATATCATCTTGCGGTTGTGCACGTAGAATCCAATTTCGAAAGGCCGCATTGATATCGACCGAAGCAAATGGAAGGTAGTGAGTTTATAATGAATATATCAGTCCCAGACTGTCAGGTAAAGAATGGTAAGCATTACTACATAGAATATGAGAAGCCTCTCCTGACTCACATCGTTCTTATCCTTCAGAGCACAACCGCACTGCCGTCTCAAAAATATTCCTAACAGCGCGCTTTACAGGTTTAGGGGGGGGGGAGGCAGAGATATTCAAAGGGATATTCTCGATGTTCTCACAACTCTCTTTGTGATTTTAAATCCGATACGTTGGACAATGTTTATACTATTTATTTGTGCGTTGAGGTAGAGCATTATCCTTAATATGGTGTATCTCGTATGAGCATTATGTACTGCGACTGCAGATTGAGTATTTCAAAGCACGTCCATCTCGGACTGTGTAGAGATAGCAATACAGCAATCACCGATATAACGGCAGTACATTAGCAGCATGAGGGCTGACACCGAGTCCTCGATTTTGCTCTTTGAGCATATAGCGAGCGAGTACCGAGAGGGTTGGGCGCCTTCTCTTAGGATGGGTCGCGAAATGTTTGAAAGTTACCTACATGAGTTATAAAATTGTGCAAGTGACTGGTTTGTACTTGCAATTAATGAAAATATTTTGAAAAGATCTTTCAACAATTCATTTCAGGCTTATAAAAGAATTTCCGGAGGTGGCTTACGCCACGCCTTCTTTTTCTGAAATTTCGGAGTTAAGATTCCGCGAAAATTTTAGAAACCATACCAAGAAATTTTCCAATAAAGGTGCGTGGCTGATGCCACACACCTTTATTGGAAAACATTTTTGTCGCCCTCCCCGAACGGATGTCCTGGATACGCCACTACGTCTGACACATTGCTTATTCAGGTTTCTGGATGTAGTGGTCTCACAATCAGATTATCTAAAGATGTCACACTTAATATTCGGCAAGGGTCATTGTCCGCAGTATGCCGAGTCCGGAGGTATTGAAGGTGTTAGCATTTCTATTACATCCATTACATCGCTTGCAGAGCTTGTTTATCTGCATATTGGTGTACAGCGAAATACGTCGAGTAACTCGACTGCTCGAATCGAATTTAATGCTCAAACGATGTTCAATGAATTCAGGTGAGATGGATAGATGTGCTGGCAATTTGGGCAATTAACTCACAATTTCGTTTAAGAACTCTGAGGTTCTGTCAGTGGGGCCGCACACACTACTGATGATTGGCCTGATTCTGTTTCGCAAAGCTTATGCGTTTTGATTAAGGTACAAAACCGGATAATTTGAACATTGAACTCTTTTATCCTATTTATAAGTCCTGTCGTTAAGTCCGGCAGATTTCCCTATTGCAGTCCAAGCGCCATTCAGTTTGCTAAATTGGGCAGAAACTCACTCTCAGATACTACTCTGCAGGTTGTGGTGTGCAGGGTGAGCTGCTGTTATTCTGCGGTCTAGCTCGTGGGACTTACCACAAATTCGGAGAGCCTAAATTTGAGTGCGGGGAGCGGCAGCGCGGTGCGACTCTTGACCCGTATCCGCCGCGTGTCATAACTGATGTTCTGAGGTTGATGTTTTGCTCTAATTAAAACTTCCAAAATGAATCCCTCACTGTAGATGCAATTCGGTACTTTTCATTACTGGTTCACTAGTAAAGCTGTTCGAAGCGTTTATCAAAAGGGACTTCCCAAAGCAAAAAAATTAACAAAATATAGCAGTAAAATCGATAACCAAACGCAAAAGTTGGAGAATAATACTGACGCTGAGAGGACGCGAAAGGTGTCAGATGTGAACAAGTGACACAGTTGGTGCAAAACTTTTACAATCAAACAAAGCCACCAGAATAGATCAAGGTGGATCGTAAAATTAGAAACAAAAACCTTGATTAATAGAGCGCCCAGCAGCACCATATACATGCAACATTCGACAGAAAGTTGACCAAAACTAGTAAACGCCATAACGGCTTGTAGGTAATCTGCTAAAAGATCGCAAGATTGTTGTTTCGGTATAGAGAATTTTGTTCTGTTCTGGATTTAAATACGAGTTGTACAAGATATACTTTATCAGAAACAAAAAGATCATTAGTTAATTACATCAATAAGCAACTTATAAACAGAAAGCATTACCACATGACGAGCCTTTCATAAGGATCATGCGACAGTCTGACCACTTTTAGCAAGTTCTTCTCTGTAAAAAAAAACATTTTTAACCGATTATGATAAGGTTGTCAACAACTAAGGCTTTCCATAACCTGCGTCAAAACTTACTTCAGCTGTTTGGAGAAATCGCTTTCATGCGTTTCGTCATCCCAGTTATCTTCCCATACATTCATCTCTTCATCATCTGCATCGTCTGTCCGCTCCGCCCATTCTTGTACAGGAAACTCTTCAAACTCTTCGTCATCGATGGCTTTCTTAGTCTACAATGATGATTTTTAGCGATAACAATACATCCACACACCGTATATTCTTACTTTTTCCTTGGGTACATCCTTCTTTGTGATAGTAATTCCAGACATTTTTTGAAACTGAAATAACTGCTCAAAATAAACGACGATAAACTCAATATATCGCAAAAAAGTTACAATATCAGGAAAAAACCCGAGAGTACCCAAATGAAAAATATGAAGCAAAATTTTCATTTCTTTGACGCTATACAAACATGGAAAACAACAACTATATACATATTACAAATAAAAGTTCAACAGTACCTAACTAAATCTATGCTATTTTATCAGCTACATATAAATACTCTAGACGATAAATCTTCAAGCATCTTCGGCGGATTTACCACTTTTTTCTTTTTCTCTTCGCTCTTTCTCCATTTCTTCTACACGTAGCGGTAAGCTGGATGCTTGCTCCGGTCGAGACTTCTCGCCTTCACCTGGAGTTACTCAGCAGATATTTGGGTAAGCGAACATTTTATGGGTACAAGAAGGCAAAGAAAATAGCAAATCTCATGACTAATTATTTTGAACAGGTCTCGAACATCCGAGTGAGGAAGAAAATATATGAAAGAAGACTTACTTAATTCATATGTCAGATTTGTTCCCTGCTTTGGAGGTATCCATCTAGGATAAACTTTGTCATGAAGTCGCCACATTCCATCCACAACAGCTATGTGGTTTTCAAAGACTACATATTCAATCACTTCGCGTGGTTCCGTCTCTGAGCCAAGTATGAGATGACCAAAGCGATCATATACGGCTAGTTTCTAGAATAATTGTGAGCTGATTGAGCAATCCAATTTTGAGAAGCGGACATGAACAATGGGCAAAACTTAGGATTAAGTGTATAAAAAGGCTTGAATATTTTTTCTCGACATAATGACTTGTAGTATGTGATGATTAAAAGATTTCTCTTATAAATATCGCCCCAATGCATCCGATTAGCTGCTTTTGACGAGTTGATGCACAATCACCAGATCTGAACATCTCAGAAACTGAATGCCAAAGGCGGTGCAAAAACGCGAGAGGGCGACGCGGTGGCACGCTAAGAACGTTGCGATAAAAACTATAGATGTATAGTCCTCTTAAATTAGATCTGGAGTATAACTGGGATACCAAAAGCACCAGAAGACCAAAAATGATCAAAAGAGCTCACCTGTTTCGTGTGCATTCTTACGGTTAGCTGAGCAATGTCGTTTCCAGACTTGTAAGGTTGGTCACCGCAGCGAACGGAAACTACCTGGTGACAGAAGTCATGAAGTGAAAAAATACGTGGTCCAAGGTCACGAATGCTTACCGTGCTAGGTTCCAATCTCTCCACAAGCTCCCAAACGATTGAGCCATGCTCTACGTCAGGCCACATCTTCTAAAAAAGACAGTTATGTACATATACAGATGCATGAAATAGAAATTTGGTGACCTACAGCAAAAGCATGCTCTGTGATGCATTTGTGTAGAGTCGGTTTATCTCGCTTCATCAAAGCTTTGTGTGCTTCTTCGTAAATTACATCAGCAGTTGGACCAAAAGTCTGGAATTTAACAAATGTCATACAGAAATAGCCTTTCCGAAGAAATTAAGAAGCAACTCACCTTAGGATCAAATTTCTCGAATCCTTCTTTCTTTCGTATTCTACTTGTCCCATTTCTCCAATTATGCCATCGATGGAGCGTTCTTTGCTCAAATTCAATTATTAGAATAGGCAACATGAGGTAGAAAGATTCGTACCTTCAATTCCTCACTCTTCAATTTCAATCCGTCCACTCCGCCACCAAGAAAAGGCAGAGTTTCGCCTTTTTCAGGCGTCACGAACGGGTCAATTACAGCATCTAAAATCCGACTCGAGTTTGATTTTTATAGGTGCATGAATTTCTTAAATAGCTTACAAAAGGAAGACATCGTGATTTGTGCTTCCTGCCAGGGTCTTGGCTGAGCTTCTTTGTAAGGATTGACTCCCTTCTTTAGCAGTTCGAGCCTCAACTCAGCTGGCGACATTTTCTCACGTCGGCGTTGTTCCTCATCATCAGGAAGTTCTATCACGACTGTTTTCCGACCACGCATCTAAAAAAATTTTACACCGATGGAAATTATAGCAGATCATGGTAGGGGCAATTGGAACTTACTCTCCGGAACATCTTTTCGTTTATGTGAGTATTTCTGTTAGCTCTAGCCTTGTTTGATCGTTTGATTCCCAGAAATAACCGTAGGTCATGCCGCTCCAAGTGATGATGAACAGAAGCTTGCTGCAGGAGATTCGATGTACAAGCTGCAAGTCCCGGAAGCCCCGTTCGAGACAACGGACATAACCGGCTGATCATACTGCAACTACTAGCTAAATTGATCGGGACTGCTTAATACAATCATGTTATGTAACTAAACCGAACGAGACATAAAATACATGCTTATTGAGATCGTATTTAGCTGCTATTCTAGCAAAGAAATGAGTTTCTTAACCAAGAAAAAGCTAAAAAAAAGATGCAATCCGAAACTGCGCCTAGTTGCTGATTCTAATATGCCTAGATAGAAGGTGATTAACGACAAGCAAACAAGATCAATCCATCACTTTCGCAGAACAATTTTTGAATGATAATTCACTCAATTCCACAACGCTTGTAAAATTACGCGCAACTTCACCATGATCTGCACAACGTTTGTGCTACAGTGCTCATAAGTCAGGGGGGGGGGGAGGCACGCGGAAGGCGACAATGCGCGCAATCGAAAAACATCAAGAGGTGAGTGGTACCCAAGCAGAAACAGGGCAGTGTCACATATTTATTTTTTATTTATTTACTTAATACGCACAAGGCGTGCCCATTTAACAGAGAAACGAAGCATCACATTAAACAACTAGCAACAAAAAAAAAACAACAGGCAAGCACCCCAATCAGCTCAAGTCCAGCCCGCAATTTTTATAACTCATGTAACTTTCAAAAATCTAACCTCATGTTCTCAAAAATTTCTATGTTAGCTTTAGGATTGATAATATCAAAGCATCTTACTAAGAAAACGATATGGAGGATGTAAGTATACCATAGGCGTACCCAGGGTTTACGTTCGGGGGGAGGGGAGAGGGGGGGGCGACAAGCGTTAGCCACGCATCAGGAAATTTTTTTGGTATTGGAAACGCCCCGGAAAAATTTTTTCATAAGGCTAAATTGAATTTTAAAAAATTATTTTAATTACTTACAAGTATAAATATGTCACTAACTCATTTTTATAACTCATGTAACTTTCAAAAATTTCGCCGCCCAATCTCGGAGGAAGGGGAGGGGCGCCCCCCCCCACGCCCCCCTCGGTACGTCACCGTTGTATACGTATACCTTGTCGGAAAGGAACCTTTCTGCACTTCTGTCACTAAAAACAATCAGGTACTAGACGCGCAGTCTCCAAGTCAGCGGGCACCTGTTTCATGCACGCTTCCCACCAATCTCTAACTGGAAAAGGTGCGCTACAGCAATATAGCTATTGATCACCATGACCATCGCACTGAAGCTAAAATCACTCACACAGTTTTCAACATCAACGCTAGCAGGCCGAGCCCTAGGTCCCGGCACGTAGTGATGGCACGAGCACGACCGCCTGGGCAGCTGGTTAACATTTCATGGCCGGCCATACTACTGCGATTCCTGCAATTCCTGCAGGTCCCGCAACAACAATGCATATTGCAAAAATAACGGGTGTATGCCAAGATGAACGATAGCTGGCAATAAGCATACTGTACTCCTGCGGTTGTCAATATGTCGCACATAAAGTCTTATTTTTTGAAGCTGTATGTTCCAAACTAGATTGAAAATAGTATCGAACAGTAAGAATCAGGGCATACAGAGCTTTCAACAATTTTTTCTAAGTTCGAGATATCATCATAGCGTAAATATGGAATTTGGAAAAGATTTGACCTACGCAGCGCATATGGCTGGCACAACCTGTATCGGTGGTTCGATGGCTTTATAGTAGCCTGAGGCGATATAGCGCCTTTTGGAGTGTGTTATACAGAACACATAGCTAATAGTAGCTTTATTGAGTCAGACGACATGCACCCGATCGTGCAGTGGTAGAATGCTGGTGATAATAGGCGTGGCGAAGTAAGTTAACATATTTGGGCAGTAACGGTGCTCATATCACAGCAGGTCATGCTTATGCATGACCTTCATGGTAATCATCAAAGGAGGTGAAAGAGGTGCCGATTCTATCGGCACACTGCCGCCGGCCAAGCATGAAGCAGAAAAGAGAGACAGCACATGACAAAAACACATTCGAATAATCTACTCCTTTTCGCTAATTCTTCTGCTTATCTGGATAGAGTAGTGGACGCTGGTAACCGGCACGTATTGCTTTGACTGTGTTGAGATCCACGAAGTATGAGCGGACGTGGCGCCGGCACGAGGCAAATGATTGTAGAGAGTAGACTTCAATAAAGATGACGTGATTAGCGAATTGAATGTGACAGGATAATATGGAGTTAAACTCTGGAATATATTCAGTGGGAGCGATCTTCTTGCTTGAAAGCGGAGCTAGCAAATCCTCATTTTTGGAGACAGCTGTTTCTTCACTGGTAACCAAAGGCGTCATGACCTGGAAAGGCTCCTCGTTATGGGCAGAGTAGACCTCACTGCATCGATCATCACTGCTTTTCGACTTTTTGCGTCCTTTTGTCATCCCTTTTGTTGCATTGCTCTGCGGTGAATTTTTTGCTTCTATTTTCGTCGCACAGTAGCCATCATCGAGGTTTAGAACGGCTGATTCCGAAGACTTCTTCTGTTTTTTGTCCTGAGCGTATATTATGCTGTTCTCAGCGCTGAAATTACTCCTGGAATCAATGTTAGTCTTTTTTTTACTTTCTTCTTCGTTTTTAAGCGTTTCTTCGTTCATCGTTGGCGTATCGCTTGGGATAGGATCGCCTGGTTTTGGTGAATTGTTCGACTGATTTCCGAGCAGTAGTTGCTCACTGTTATTTTTGCATGTTACGGCAGAATTCTTCTTGCTTTCTATGTTTTTCAATTCTGCCTCAAATTCTGTCATGCGGAGTTGCACAAAGTAGACAAGCATGTGAGTATCATCAATGGCTTTATAAAATCTTATCTCTTTATCGAGCTCCTCCATTTCCATCACCACCACTTTCCTTATGGCGGTAGATTCTTCGTTTTGGTAAAGTTTCTCTAGCACATCAGTCCTCATTTGTAGTGACTGTGCGGCGGTCTCCACTTCTCTGATTATTCGCGCATATTGGCGCAGATTGTAGACGCATATCCTCCGGCGCAATTCGTCGTTATCTGGAAGTATGGTCTTCTCACCGCTGTATGCGTACTCTTGCAGTACGTCCGTGAGATTCTTGGTGAGCCGTCTAACTTGTGCGTAGAGGCTGGGAAACAGCTTCATTGCGAGATGTTTCCTTTGTGCTCCTGTTTGCGAAGCACTGTGTCGGCCTTCGTATTTGGCCGATGCACCAAATGTATCGGTGGTTCGATGGCTTTATAGTAGCCTGAGGCGATATAGCGCCTTTTGGAGTGTGTTATACAGAACACATAGCTAATAGTAGCTTTATTGAGTCAGACGACATGCACCCGATCGTGCAGTGGTAGAATGCTGGTGATAATAGGCGTGGCGAAGTAAGTTAACATATTTGGGCAGTAACGGTGCTCATATCACAGCAGGTCATGCTTATGCATGACCTTCATGGTAATCATCAAAGGAGGTGAAAGAGGTGCCGATTCTATCGGCACACAACCTATCGTTCATGTTGGCTGCCCCCCGATCAAACGGATCAAGTTGATCAGCTATGACAAGTGCCAGAGACTTTTTTGCTTTGGACTTCACTGCTTCTTTCAGCCAAAGGTGGCCTGTTTGTATAACGTTATATTATAGAGTCCAGTCATCTCCACGGCGCTCAGACGCTGCCTTCAAGCTGTCATAAGCTCAACTGTCTGTATCTGCTCGCTCTCGTAACTACACAGTAGTGGAGAGAGATAAGAGCTGTGCATTGTCTGCATTTCCTGAACTTAACCTCACTGGAACTGCACTTCAATCAACTGATCTAAGGTATACAATGTTCAAATGCGATTATTTCCGCGGGGATGCTTTTGCAAGTTTTATACATACAACATACGATTCACTGCATGATGAACAATGTATATCTAGTCCTCAAACAACTCAATGGATTATTCAAGACGTCCTTAAAAAATTATGATAAGACGCTCAACGTCCATTTATGCGGAACTTATTGTTAGACAAAGTAAGAAGAGGAAGAACACCGTATACATAAGGGAGAAAAGCTGGATCACCGCACCGTGTTTTTTGGATTTTCGATCAATAAAAACCTAGTTAAATTCGTTAATACTTCTAAGCATAAGGCAATTTTGTTATGTTGACAACCTATACACACATACAAATGAGAGAATAATGCTTGGAAATCAGTCGCACATGATCTCTGTACTTTTAGCAGTCCGGAAGGACGCTGAACCAAATTGAGAGCCCTAAAATCACTTCAAACCATACGTCAATTCGCACTGCGAATATCAATACTGAGTATTGAATATCGAGCTAGACAAGAAACCTGAATGTTATCACAATTACAGTGTGCACTATATCGGGGCTACGTCTACCAAGTTTTGCTGGAAGAGAGAAAATCATACTGGGAAAACTGGCATAAGGAAGTATAGGCCTCAAAACGGCCGAAGATTCCTCGTGGAGCTAAATATGAAGTGGAAAATGGATGGCCTAGAATAGCGCAGTAATGTCCCTGTTTAGAGAAAAAGAAGATAAGCAAGATACCTATACATTCTTCAATGGCAGTTAATATACAATTATATACAATAGCAACACTGGAAGAGTTGCAATCAATATAAAAAAGTAAAAAATGAAGAATTAGAAAACTATGACAGCTAGTCGTGCTTTTACTAATAGTGTGTGAAACTCAAAAAAGGCAAAAAATCAGAATAGTTTTAGTAAAGCCACAACTAAGCAGCTGGGTTTTGAAAAGCAGAGTAAGAAAAGAGAATATTAAAAGAAGAAAATTTCTCAGGACAAAGCAAGCTGACAAAATAGAAGGACTTACAGACGACTCATTCAGGTGAACTTAAGGATTTCGCAAATCAATGGGGAGGTTTGTCCCTCAAAAGAAAATTATCGAAAATCATCAAAATCAAAATCCTCCTCGTCGACAGTCGTTTTGCTTTTGGATGGTTTCCGTTTAATCCCTGGCGAATGGGTGTCAAAGAAAACCTCCCCGACTGCACGCTAAAAGAAAAAGATGTATTTAGCTATGAGACTCAGACAAGTTCAGGACATTACCGATTCATCAATTTCAACGTCACGCATTGCGTCCGCTATTTGTTCACTGATATCACCACTGACTGTCACCTGATCCCCCAATGCCATCGATACTTCACTCGCCCAGGACCCGCATTCAATACGAGTGGCATCGCTATTTGAGCTATTGTTTCCGGCACCTATAATCAACCGTGACGCTCGACAAAAAACAGTAAATTCCTCGATAACTTTTTCAATAGGTATGGTCGTACGCGAGATACGCTTGTTAGAAAGGATGGTGATAATCCTAATCAAGCAAAGTAGGCCGCTCAACTAGATAAACTCCAGCTAGATAAACTTTTACATGCTAGAAAGGACCACAATACAGGTATCGTTTATTCGTTGACCGTAACGACTGCTGACCGCGCGGCGACCGCTGCGCGTGCATGATGTTTTCGTAGAAAAGATGAATGGAAAGAAAACAGAGGATTCTTCTCATCTTTATAATGTAGAAAAGAAACAAAGAATTCTTCTCATCATAAGCCACGGTCCAACTTGTCACTTTTTCGCAAGTTTAGAAGGCACGCGTCGCAGTCGCCACGCGGTCGGCAGTCCGTACGGTCAACGAATGAACGATATATATTCAATAAAACTATCTTCACAAAGCTATTACCACACCGAACGAATTTAAGAAGATGTGACAAAATCTTGGCCGATACTCACCTCCTATAACCACAGGAACCGATTTGATTGACGAAAGAGAGTGCCGTGATTCTGATGGTGTCATCTGAACAAGTTGTGGCTGAACAATATATGAATCACAGATACAGGGCTTATCAACTGCAGTGTCGGGAGCACCAGCATCTCCGCTCCCGCAAAGCCGCTTCGCCTGGGCTCTGCACCTTTCGCAAACATGCTCTCTGACGCTTTCCCACTGCGAGCGTGGGACAGGCGGAGCCTCAATCGATTGGATATGATAGGAGAGTATGTTCGCGGAAGAAGTGCAGAGTCCCACGCGGGAGTGAAGATACGGTGCATCCGACACGCAGTTGATAAGCCCTGTATATGTATTCTAAAGTCCAAAACTGGCTAAGGGAAACGAACCAAACAACGCCTACTAACCAGCTCAGCGCTACTACTCTCCTCACGATACTCGAAAAATTTGAACTGTGGACCCATCCAAAGCCTTCGATGAGGACCAGAATAAGTGCACACCTATAAGTTATCGCTATTTTGGAGGTAACAAACATAAAAAAAAGAGTCTCACTTCAACTTGCGGAATCCATGTGTCCGGCTCCCGCACGTTTCTTTGTCGCTTTTTGTCGGGCACCAACCAAGTAATTAGTGGACTGCCGGGCTGCAATGGCGGCGGAATGTCCGCATTGTTCTTTGTTCTAGAATGAAGATTGTCGTACTCGTTATTGAGAGTCACAGCTGGAAGCAAACCTATGCAAAGTCCACATTGCTGCTGGCAACACATCAATTTGTGGCGGATCTTCTGTGCTCATTGAACCCAACACTCGTGGATGGAGCTCATATTCGCACACAACTCCTCCATCAGCACTGGCGATGAGAAGTGCTGGAGATCGGGCGGTCGCTGCCGTTCGACTGGAGAATGCGAGCGCCACTCGTGGCAAGTCAACGCTGGCTCGACGTTTTGAGCTTCCACCAGCGCCCACAGCTGCGAGAGCAAGGGGAGCCAGATCTTTCCCGAGGGCAAGAAGATTGGTCGCGCTCAACTGAGACTGAAAAATGGGGGGTTAGGCTGGGAATAAGACGCACAAGATAATCATCGGCCAACCCTTATTTTCTTCACAGAATCCAGTGTAATTGGAGGAGAATAGGGTCCTATCCTAGGATTAGCGGTAGATCGAGCCATGGTGCGATTCCACATACATGGATGCTCCCTGTGGAAAGAAGCCGTACACCAACTTAACGAGAGATAATGACGGAGTAGAAGTGGGTTTTCATGACATATGAACCTATTTCGAGAACCATTAAAGAGGATTCTCTGCTAGCGAAATGCGCTATGTACACCATTTTCGCCACATATTGCAGTAATCATGTACTCTATCTAATGTATACACTTTAGTTCAACAAACCATGAACAAGGCATTAATACCAAAAATCAGAATTTAAGACTAACCTTGCTGTTGGTGTCGCTCCACTGTGGTTCCTAGAACGTGGTGGTAACACAGCTTGCGCATCGACACCTCCAGCCAAACCGGCTGATCGCAGAAAGCGGGAATCCCTGAAATCATCTGCATTATGTGATGCCTGGGCAATCACCAAAAGTAGCATACTTGTTCGTGAAATGTTCTCCATGAGTTCGCCTCGACGGCTTACCACCATAAGGACTGATCGCAAACACATGACAAGTGCCATGGTTTGTGCAAATTGACAACCATCGGCAATCAAGAGAAAAAGCACATGAAACCACCTGAAAGGACGAACTAGTCTGCAGAACCAAATAAAGAAGGGAGTACCTTGGCAATAGTTGTACCCCTACGCAAACGGTACAGATGCTGCACAGCAGACAGAAGTGGTGTATATGGATGGGTAAGAATCGAGAATATATGGAAAACGCATGCTGACGTATCGGCTGTCATTAAAAGACGACCATCAGGAGACCATGCCATATGTGCCAATGGCTCATTATGAGCCGCAAAATGTGCCATCACAGCTAGTGCCTCGTTTCCCTGCATACCATATAGTGAGAAGAAGCACAAAAAAGGTTTGACCAACCTCTTCAACTTCCTTCTCCAAATCAATCACAGTGACGATCCCCATGGGCACTTCCCCTGCTTTTGAGCCACTCACTCGGGTTACAGAAGAAGTGACTGTGCGCGACAAAGCCTATAAGCAGTGTTTTCATTCACATGAACGAAAATCGACGCTTATATTTCGAATTCTACGCCCTATCATGGAACATAAAAGAATAGAAATAATCCATACTTACCTTAGCTACGCTAAACATCTGATTAGCATAAGTGGCAGGGGCATCATCGACATCACCGCACATTCCGCCGCAACTTTGCATGTCCGGATTCAACTACAAACAAGGATATAAAAAATGAGTGAAGCAACAAGAACTCGCGTTACCTTGAAGTCAGCAAAGGCAACAAATTGTTGATTTAGCGCAACTGCAGGAGCACAAGACTCTGGTGGTTGTACCACTCGGATCGACCGCATTTCAGTTAATGTTACGGTATCGTAGATAACAAGGCGTGTGGATAGTGATATTACAAGATACCTGAAAGCATAAGATACCACCATAGCAACAAAAAGCAGCATTTGACAAGAGTTACAAACCTGGATGCAGTGTTTAAGCCACAAACAGGCTCCTCGAACGCAAATCTTCGCACACCCTTACCACTACTGAGAGACACTATCGAAACAGAACAATACTGTCGATCCGGAATCGTAGTGTACGTGTCGACCATTGCCACCATTGGACGCTGATCCGCAAAACTAAAAAAGGTCATAACATTGTATTATTTACAGAAATAATCTGGAAAGATATGAGGAATACGCCTACGGGTCTACTTCGCCGTTGTGCAAATCGAAATTGCTCGATAGGGGAACAAATGCCCTGATAGGACCTTGTCTTTCCGACATCACTTCCTCGCAATCACCACTCTCCTAAACTTGCAGATAAAATACAAGAAGTTCTACATGGTTAACAGCGAAGAGCCGTTTATCCTCTTCTATGAAATGTGGAAAAAGCGCAAATGAGTGAAGAGAGTAAACAGGTATTTTAGTAACTGAAGCGAAAAAAAGAGAAAAATTTGCTAGACTCACATTAAGCGTCCAAACTTGGAATCCTCGAGCTAGTCCCAGTACTATAAGCTCCATCCGGCGGCTTGGCTGTCCAGCTGGATAATAAGCATTTGACATAGTTCAAAATACATATGTCCTAGTTGACCAACTCAGTCAGTCGACCAAATGAATTTTTCAAATCTCCGCTCAAACTCCTATCTCTCAAACGTGCAAGTATTTGCAGCTAGCATACCTTTCTCGATGCTGTGCAGTTCCACCCATTCAACTTTTTCAACCATCTGTGCCTGAGACTGATGTTGTAAAGTAACGTCATGAACGAACTCCACCACAGTTGACGAGAATGTTGACGTTCTGAAGAACATTTATGAACACATTACATGCAAATAAGCCATGCCGCCATATCTAGAAAAAAATTATATGGACTTTCTATCTGATACTTAAACTTACGGAACTGGCTGAGAACGTGCCACCTGTCCTTTGAGATAGTTAACGCTTGATGTTCGATCGCGTGATGGTCGAGGTGGTGCGCGTGGTGCCGTCAAGGCAGGAACTTCTAAATAATAAAGATACTAAATGTATACATCCGCTTTACAATAATCCATTTAACAAAAACGAGCACATTCCTTCATAATAAACGCTAACAGAAATCAGTAGCGGAAGAAATACTTCCTATCGTATATCTTCAAGAAACAAATTTCGCAAGCGACATCCAGTTGTCTATGATTCAGCATAAGCATGTGCTGCTGTTGACGATTCTAATATATTGCTGCCGACGCATTACAAAAACCGATAAAAGAATTACGGAATACAATTTTGCTTTGTAATATAAAAACCAAGCAAGCGGAAGTTGATTTTAGTCCATAAGGATAACGCATTAGCATGCTCAGAAACATGAAGCACCTTGCATGAAATTCACATATACTGCGTGCAGAAATGCTTAACAACGAACGCGTTATGTAGATACCTGCCGGATCGATTCAAATTAATTACCATAGCACTCACATTTTGAAACAAATAAAAACGATAGCATCGATTATGGCAGCTCAACTGACCCATGATTTTAGCGGAGTTGATGGGGCTCGCGCCAAACAAGGGTGAGTCGCTGAGAAACAGCTCCTGCTCAACGTCGCGGGTCGCGCCTTCCGGCTCAATCGACAGGATCGTGCATGCTGCGCCGGCATCGCCCTTCATCACGTCGGTCACCTTGGCCAGCGATGGTTCTGGCGATGGCGATTTATGCGGCTGAGGGTGCACCTGAACCATACTTCTTCAAATTGATACTAAATTGCGGACAGGATCAAAGGCTGCTTTCAAGTTTCCACACCGATAGCGTTCTATGCCTAGAGGACAATAAAAGCTGCTATGTACTGCAGGTGAAAAACACCAAAAATGCATGTGATCATGCATCAAACGATTATGCACGTGCGAAAATCCCTTTCTGAGTAGACGATGGAACTACTTTTAGCAAAAACCCAAAAGGTCTAATAGCAGAGTTGGATCCAGTTTAGTCACCCCTAAGTACTTCTTCATAGCTTATTGTTAGGAGAACTTTCTAGGTAAGAGATGAAAAAAAAATTGACCGCAAAACATTTTAGCCAAGACAGCCAGATTATAGCACAGGAGTATTGCCAAATGAATTCCATAAAATTTCAAAAACACGCAGCTGAATCTAAAACTCCAACCCGGTGCACATGCAAAGAGAAGAAGACAACTGTCAACCGTTCAATTTTTTACTGAGCATCGCTCGCTAGAAAAAGGAAGTGCAAGGTTCGCTTTCCAGAGATAAAATCTCAACCAGCTCATCAATTTGAAAAGTGAGCACTTCTCTTTAATAGGAAAACATCAACAAACCGGTTGTACTGGTTGAGCTATTTTTTCCCTTTTGTTCTTCTTCTTGCCTATGCTTGTCATGTTGGGAGGCATTTCCTCCGCAGACATGCGGACTCCGTTTGGCTAGAATATGAAATCAATAATGAAAATAAGCTAAATATGTTGCATGATAATCCGATAGCACAAAAGAAAAGATACTCTGGTGAAGAAAATAATGACCTGTGATGAACGCTTGGTGATAAAGAGTTATGAGAATTTGGGCAAAGATAGAACCAATGATTTTGACAGAAGCAGGACTCATACTAAACTTGAAATTGGCTGGATGCTGAACTACTAACAGCCTAGTAAGCTCTATATAACCCACGCTAATTATATCGCCTTCACTTGTTCAAAAATTTTTATTGAATTTTGAGCAAAATTCCTGATATCAAAGTAGCTCCTCACGTAAAAATGTAATGTACCGAGCGTATTATCCCCTGATCCATTATTATGATAGAAAGCAAAACAGTTGAATCAGCAGAATGTTTTGAAAAAATAATTGCGCGATTTCTAGATGCTAAATCCTGAATTCATTTTCGGTTCCATATTGCATAAGCGGACTGCGAGATAAACACATTGACAGTGTTTACGAGAAGATGAAACAAATGCGATTATTTATTGGTAAGGTTCTATTCAAGTTAGCACGTTTTTCTGTCAGAAATTTCCCGTAAAAATCAAGATTTATTGATATAATCCGTAAAAATAAGACCTATATGTCTAAATATACATCTAAATTCCCTAAAACCTGATTGCACTGCTGCAGCTTGCAGGTGAAGCCATTTTTTATTACTTGCAAGATTCAAAGAAGGACAAAAACCTGCGGAACGATGACATCTGCTCAGAACACGATCGATCGCATAGTGACCGGCCGGTTCATTGAGGCGATAAGACACACGACAACGACAGCAAATCGATCTTTCCTAACATTCTAGAAACTCTCAAAAGAGCATTCGCAGCAAAAGAAGTTCACAAGCTGGCAACCGCGACTAAACTTCTAAAACCTTGCAGAAATCGAGAAATGCAGAAATGAAATTTGCCGCATCACTGTGTGGTGGTTGAGGAAAAATCGATTCGTTTGCCCTTTGCATAACAATATTGCCAGGGAGAGAGCGAGGCATTCGTCAGAAAATTGCAGAATTTGCAGCATAGCTTATTGCTTATTCTTTGCCAAAGAAAACGGCTTTGAAATAGAGATGAAAGAGAGAAAGCAGCAACATAGCAGCGCATAAATGTATTGTTCAAAATTCATAAACCTCAGCAGATGAGATAAAACTGGGTTTGCATTTCCTATCGCGATCAATGACGAATGTAATATGAAGTTGCACCCAAAATATAATTTTTGAAAAATCCAAAAAAGCATTTCCGTGTCTGTCAGCTAGTTGGAAAAGAAATGCTGAAGAACATTGAACACAGAACATTGTAAACATCTGATACAAATTTACAGAGCTCATTTCCAAACAGCCACTCTCTAGTTCACCGACAGCTAAGCTGGTTTCGTTGACGTGCCCTTGCATTTCTCTACCATGGAGACGCTGCAGTGATTAAGAATTAATGATTACTTCGGCCCCGGCTTCATCGACATTCGTCGCTAGAAAGACGTCCCCAACCAAGTAAGAAGCTTACTCCGGATGAATGCTGTACATTCATTTATTTATTCCGAAGACCAGACATACTGTCAACACGCATTATTTACATAGTCATGCCTGACTCCGACAGAGATGTATTGCATGCCAGCTACCTTAGCAATGAACTAAACGATAAGTAGAGATGCACAAAAAGAGGTAAATATGCAAGTGACAAAAACGCTTGCGATCACACCAGAACTTAAGTGCGGAAAATTTATTCGGAGAGCTGAACGAAATAGCGGAGTTGAGCATAATCTTTTTCGCGGTCTTACCTTGCAACCCGCAATGCCAAATGCAGCAGTCTAATTGTGCAAACGATTTTAATGATAAACCCTACATATGAACAATTTAGAAATTTTATTTTATCACTCAGTATGTGTGCGTTTCTAGATTACACATTATACAGTGTATCCCAAAAAAATGTGCACACTGTTTGATCGTAAATAACTCTTTTGTAGTGAAGTGTTTCGAGAAGCTTTAGGTACCATTTTGTAGAGCGAGGTTCAACTTTGATTTACAGTGTAGAGCGAATCGCCGATCGCTCATTCTTACTATAGAAGTACGGTAGGAACTTCAAACATATGGTGTCACTGTGAAAAAAGCGGTCGTTTCAAAAATTTTCAACAAAATGTGGAATTTTGTGTAATAGGGTTTTCATGGACCCTGAGTTCAATATCCAACCCTTTTCAAGGTTGAGAAGCTTTCTAAACGGTGTAACCGCACTTTTTAGGAACACTTAAAAAACGTCTGCTACTGCTTACCGCATAATTTTTTAATGAAGCATTACGAAGAGTTGCGAACTTCACATTTAAATTCAGCAACTCCAGTTAGCCCAGTGTGAGAGTTTTCAGATTGTTTTGGTTTCTTTTTGGGACAAAATATGGCCTTTCATGGCTCAAAACCCTCCTAAAAATTTCTACCGTAATCCTAAATGGGAGATTGGCGATCCGCTCTACACTGTAAATCTAAGTTGAACCTCGCTCTACAAAACGGTACCTAAAACTTCCCGAAACACTTCACCACAAAGGAGTTATTTACAATCAAACAGCGTGCACATTTTTTTGGGACACCCTGTGTATTTCATGTATTTTTAGACAACAATCGATCTAGTGTAGGTCCTAAATAAAGCGCTAGAATCACTCCAATATCTCGCATAAGCCATCCAGTTGCCTTCACTGAACCGGGGGCGTGTTGGGAGACGCAGCACCCAATGAAGGCGGCACTGTCTTTCTCCTGCTCCACTGTCATTGACTAGAGCGCCTTCCTGCAGACTCCTACGTAAGAACAAAATGAACCGTTTAAAAACAACCAGCGCCTCTGAAGGCACAGATTGGTCCGTCCAGTAGCACTAGCAAATACCCTAATTAGGAATTCTATCTAAGGTAATCATAACCTCAAACGATACATGCATTCGTGTGAAAAAAGTTTTTTTGGTTTCTTCTATAACAAAAGGACAACATTTTGAATTTGAATACGACACAATCAAATGCGCCAAAGGTACGAAAGTACTACTGCTTTCGTAGCATTGTAAAGTTTAATCACTGCATGAACAATGCACCAATACAACATTTCTATGTGTACAAATATAAACCTTGCAAAATGCTAATAATAGCCCTATTCTAGCAATACACAATACCTTTTGGTATTGGGTGTCCTTTCACACATGACAAGACTACACGACTATGAAACATATGATTTAACATGATTCTTTACGCTTAACGTGGAAAAGAAAGGAAACAAAACTTAACAATATAGCACTTTTAAAATTTTCGATTATTCGCACAATAATCGGTGTATGAATTCTACAGCCTTTTGATATATTTTTTTCGATAATCTGTGCTCTAACAGACAACAGACCTAACAAAGCGAAACATAGAAAACTTACTAGTTGCGCATGCATCGGTGCAATGAGTTCAAAATGGTTTTTCAAAAGTTATCTTATAGAGAGTTCTTGGAAAGATTCGTCCTATTTTTGTTAAAGCTGAGAATTGAAGAGAAAAACTGATCAGCTTGACAGGCATAAGAAAGGATCCGCGCAGTCTGAGCGCATGTTTCCACGCTTATAACTGGTACCAAAACATCCTTCCCACTGTATATACTTTTTTGAAGCCGTGAACGTATACACGTTCCCGCGATAGTATACTGAAGAGTTGTTAGACTACCACGAGCGAGTTGCCTAACTAAATATCCCGAGAAACGGGTGCTTGTTTATTATTCCCAAAGCAATAAACCCTTCATTATTTCATCTGACATGGTGATAGATAAGCGGAGTTGTTGTTGATCCTGTTTGTGATTGGATATTTCGAGATATACTAACAAGGCATGACAAACACATGCCATACAATGCTATGAACAAATTTGAAAGGATAAGCTGGGATGATGAACATTATAGGATTGTTAGCAACAGACAGTCCACAATGAGTGTGTTAGATATGGCGATAATATGGCAATTTCGCAATACTGCTGGGCCAACGGTTGCTACAGACAGACAAATCGGTTTATCAAAAGCATCAAATAAAGAAGACATTGGCAAGCACTTTACCGGAAAATTTAGATTAATGAATGGTGGAACTTCCAAAAGGCTGTCAAATCAGTCTGATCTTCAAAACACAAGCCGATAAACTCGCTCTCAAGCAGTAAACAGAGAAATAAAAAAGTTTAAACCCGTCACCATTGTTCTTTTTCTTCAAAAAGTCTTCAGCTGCACTTTTAAGTACGCAATTCGACGCAACACATGTGGCGAATAACAATTTCGCAGACAGACATGTGACAGCAAAACTAAGTGCTTCATAAATATATACAGTGAACAGATTTTGTAATGCAAATGGAAAAGATCCCACGCAGGCATAGCAAAAAGCATTTGACAAAATCAAACAGTACATCAACTTATTAGGGATTTTGTTGGTGACGGAAGAGGCTAGAAACTTGTGTGCGCACCGATACGAGGTAGAAAGCCTTCAAAAGAGACATAGAAATTTTGAAGCAATCTTTTGACACTATAAATTCTGGGAACCAACCAAGGTGTAACAAGCTGTGTTTTTTATACCAACTAGTGCTTGATCAATCAAAAGCTTGAAAGACAAGAAAATAGTATGTTTCATATCGAAAAACAAAATGTTAGGTAATTAATAGCGACAGCGCATTCCCCTTATCTCACGCCATTGCCATTGGCTGCCAGTTCTCACACGATTTTCTGCATCTTTGTGTGGAATTTTGCCCGGATTTCCCAACTGAAGGAGCATTAATCTCAAGTCGAGCGAGCTACTTGCCTAAATCTAAATTAAAGTCCTAGTATGAAGCCTTGGAGGACTCATGTTCTATTACATCCCGTTTTTTGCTTTGGTAAATCAACACTAGAAAAAAAACGCTCTTGGCCTGGAACACCATCGCACCTCTAGTTCGTTATCGCGCATATACAGGGTGTCCCAAAAAGATGTGCACACTGTTTGATTGTAAATAACTCTCTTGTAGTGAAGTGTTTCGAGAAGCTTTAGGTACCATTTTGTAGAGCGAGGTTCAACTTAGATTTACAGTGTAGAGCGAAACGCCGGTCTTTCATTCTTACTGTAGGAGTACGGTAGAAACTTCAAACATATGGTGTCACTGTGAAAAAAGGGGCCGTTTCAAAAATTTTCAAAAAAATGTGGAAATTTGTGTAATAGGGTTTTTATGGACCCTGAGTTCAATACCCAACTCTTTACAAGGTTGAAAGGCTTTCTAAACGGTGTAACCGCACTTTTTAGAAACACTTAAAAAACATCTGCTACTGCTTACCTCGCATAATTTTTTAATGAAGCATTAAGAAGAGTTGCAAACTTCACACTTAGAAACAGCAACTCTAGTTAGCCCAGTGTGAGAGTTTTCAGGTTGTTTTGGTTTCTTTTTGGAACAAAATATGGCCTTTCATGGCTCAAAACCCTCTTCAAAGTTTCTACCGTAATCCTACAGTAAGAATGAGAGATCGGCGATCCGCTCTAAACTGTAAATCTAAGTTGAACCTCGCTCTACAAAATGGTACCTAAAGCTTCTCGAAACACTTCACCACAAAAAAGTTATTTACAATCAAACAGTGTGCACATCTTTTTGGGACACCCTGTATATGATGGTTTCAGAAAAACTTCAATCAAAATAAGCACAGTTTGCGCTAATCTCAGGCAACATGATGGATGAGTCACGTGGTAGAGATCCATAACAAGCCGATGAAATGAACCAAGAAACAAAGAACAACAAAAAAACCCAACCCGGACACAAACCAGATTGCTTAGAAGTGATGAGATTGTGAATCTAACAAGAAACATTTGCTCGCAGATTTTACGCAGAAAGAACTTCGATCCACACAGAAGAAGCGATAAACAATCGCGTGAGAGACACATCGCCTGTCTCACGCCCGCAAACCATCCATCAGCTGATTCTACCGTGTTCTACCGGTTGTCTATTCGCGCCGAGACCGAGGCGGAATGGCTTCACATGTGTGAGCGGTTGCGTAGCGGCTGTTAATTTTCCCGAACACACGCCTGAGTTTCTCGCCTTGTGGCCTACGGTGAGCGTTTCCTGTGGATTTTCTTGCGTTATCATATGATTTATTGGTTTTCACTCGTCTGGATGGCTGTAAATTTAACTCTAGTGCCCTTCTTCACCTGTCATTTGCTATGATCTTCGTGCATTGTTAGAAGGTCGTCTTTCTCGAAGCACCATATGTTTCTAGAGGTGCTTTCGTGCGCGTGCAGCTCTGCTCGTTTTTGTACAGAATGACTTTATACATCGCCAAAGCTTCTGACGGACAAGCTATTTTTTTAGATCTTTTTCTTAACGTTTATTTGGTCGTCGTCCGAGTTGAGGTAGCATCGTCGGAAGTTTGCTACGATGGCCGATACCGATAAACTCAACTTGGACAATATCATCGCAAGATTATTGGAAGGTAAACGCTTAGCTTATATAGTCGACGTGCATTTTGCTGTCGAGGCTTTTAATCAGGCGATTGATTACACCAGCACATGGCAGACTGTAATCCATCGCCAGCTGTTCAATTTCTATCAAATTTTTTTCATCATCATGGGCATCAAGCATTTCGAAATTTTGCTAGCTAAGCAGAATATTGTTGATTGAAGCACGTTTTTGAAAGTTCTGCAAGCAAAATTTTTTTTCCAAACAGCTTCGGATTGTAATCAAACTTGATGCTTCGCACTATGCAATAGAACTCACAATATTGATAAAATTTTCAGAGAATGTCTTCAAGTTACTGGATAAACGTGCATTATAGTTAGCAGAGAAAATTGCTAATCTCTGGTGTTTTGAGAGATTGGAATATTTCTAGAGAAATCGGAGTTGTTGTGTTCCTTGCTTCCAAGTGAAAATATTTTCATTTTGCCTGGAACGCCTCGATTTTCGCAAGAGTAATAGCGCGTTTTTTTCAGTACGAGGATCCAAACCTGGCAAGAATGTACAACTAACGGAGAATGAAATCAAGGGATTGTGTATAAAATCACGCGAAATTTTCCTCAGTCAACCGATACTGCTCGAATTGGAAGCGCCTTTGAAAATATGTGGTTGGTGTCTTTCATATACGCCTTTTTTAATCGTTTTATACTTTTTATAAAGTGTTAGAATATATCGTGTCGTGGTAAACTTTACAAACTATTGCCGGTTTATACTTGCAATACACAAGCTCCATGTGCTTTCTCCATGCCTCGCTTATTGTAATATGATAGATGTGGGTTTGTCCTCCTAGGAAATCGACCTTAGTACTCTTAGCTGTGGCTGCAGTACAAATTGCTATTTAGGCTAGAAAACGTTTAGTTTTGTGCTTGTGAACTACAACGGCAGGCGTTTGTCGCATGCGGAATTGTACATATCATTCCGTGTACCAGGGAATTATGAGATTCTCGTTTAGTATACTTCTAGCTATTCATGCTTCTAGGTGACGTACATGGCCAATATTACGATTTACTGAGGTTGTTCGAGTATGGTGGCTTTCCACCGGAGTCTAATTACTTATTCTTGGGAGATTATGTCGATCGAGGTAATACTACGACACTTCTTCTTCGCTATTGTTTGCTCAATAGGCAAAGTTTAGGAAAGCAGTCTCTTGAGACTATATGTCTTTTGCTAGCCTACAAGATAAAGTACCCGGAAAACTTCTTCCTTCTACGAGGAAACCACGAATGCGCTTCTATAAATAGGATATATGGTTTCTACGATGAATGTAAGGTTTCAGATTATCTTTTCCACTTCGATCACGATATAATTTTGCAATTTTCAAGGCAAACGTCGATATAATATCAAACTATGGAAGACATTCACGGATTGTTTCAACTGTCTACCTGTAGCAGCCATAATAGATGAAAAAATTTTCTGTTGTCACGGTGGACTTTCTCCTGATCTGCAGTCTATGGAACAGATTCGCCGCATCATGCGCCCCACTGACGTACCCGATCAAGGCCTACTCTGCGATTTGTTGTGGTCCGATCCCGATAAGGTTAGCTTCATTAGTATATCTCGAACGTCAGAGTTTGTTATCAAGCTAGATAATGGTTGCTTTAGGATGTCACTGGATGGGGTGAAAATGATCGCGGTGTTTCATTCACGTTCGGCCCAGAAGTAGTTGCCAAGTTCCTCCATAAGCACGATCTCGATCTCATTTGTAGAGCGCATCAGGTAGAGTCCTTCTAGAAATCTCTTCGTCTATTTGTGATTGTTCTGTCTGAGATTGAATTAGTCATGCCTCTCTATTTTAAAGTGCTGAGCAAGAGTGTTTTCTCGTTTTTTACAACCTCGCCTCTGATAACGGGTGTCATTTGGTCGTGATCAATAGGAATAGCGTGTGCATTAGAGTCATGAAAATTGGACCCAATTTCGACTATTTGGGCACATTTTGTAGGGGACTTTCTCCACCGAATCTATGTTCAAATATTGAAAAAAATATTTTGGATATAATATCGTGCAAAAATCAGTTCAGGTACAATTTCGATAGATTACAACGTGAAATTTGCGTTCTGCTGGCTAAAGTGATCCCGCTGAATGCATTAACTTCACACATCTCAGCTTAGCTGATGTACTTGTTTTTGCACAGCTGTCTATGCTTTTGCGTCAGAACTTCAATGGTTCTGTTATAGGAGCCAGCTCTGAATTATGCAGTAGCATGGGTAGGGGGTGAGGGAGATTCGAGGCTGTATGAAGTGCATGAAAACTTCGTTTGAATTTGATGGCATATATGCGAGGCGTGGGTGATGAGTGTTTTTTATTTGCAAAAGATGTGGTCGTTTCAGGTTGTGGAGGATGGATATGAATTCTTTGCCAAACGCCAACTAGTCACGCTTTTCTCAGCACCCAACTACTGTGGTGAATTTGATAATGCCGGATCAATGATGACTGTCGATGAAACGCTGATGTGCTCTTTCCAGGTATGAAAACTACTATTCTGAACTAGATCTAAGCTTGCGGTTGTGTTCGAAGTCACTGACTCCTTATCATTCTCTCTCTAACAGCAATATTGAAAGTTTGGACCGACAGACTTGTCATTCGTTTCGCTCGAAGAATATCTATGACCATAATCTCAGATTTTGAAACCCGCTGAAAAGAAGAAGTTTCCGTACGGAGGTGTGGGCACTAACCGACCGGTCACTCCGCCTAGGAACACTCCTGCTGCTCAACCGAAGAAGGGCAAGAAGTAGTGATACATGTACATATACCTTATGTTTGAGCGCGATGTGCGTTAGTGTGTCGAATGTGCATCAGAAGATTATTTCCCCCTCCCAAAGAAATTCGGTTAAAACTATGCCCGTGGTTCTTTGTTCATCTCCAATTATACTCTCTTCTTTAAATGGGCGCTTTGCAATTTCGTCAACTTGTTATTGCAGTGTGAAGCACGTAGTGTGTGTGTCACCACAAAAATTTGATCTTTTGTCCTTCAGATGTGTCTCGCTCTATTCACCAACCAAAAAATGGTTTGAAAAGAAAAATCACCCATTTTACAGCTCTTGATTCGTAGCAGTAGCTCCGCTGTCGTATCTCTTTCCATATTAGATTACTCATCAGATTATTTTCGACTATTGTCCTCTGTGCTTGTAAGAAAAGTATGACCTCGTGTATAAATATCGGTTTAATATTGATTTTGTTTGCTTTGTCGGGACGAGAACGATAGGAAGGGTGTGTTTGTAATATACAGTAGATTTGTCAGATGTTTTATGCATATAAGAAGTGGAGCACGTGAGGTGAGCGTGAATTCGTTCCCGTTGTTGTATTGAATAACCATCAATAGATTAAAGGGACTAGTTAACTCAGGAGGATAGTGGATTACACTTATGATACCAAGAAAGTATTTACAAGTATTATGAAGTGAGAAATGACATGGCAACTCAATATTGAAAATTGAGCATAGAGGAGTATAAATTGGGCAAACGAAATTGGCAGAGGAAATAGGAAGTTGATTTGCTTTTGTTGCGGGAACATAGAGAAAAAACCCATGGATATATAGAAAATAGTCACAGAAAAGCTGCAGTAGTGATGTAGAAGAAATATTGTGCTTGTCATGAAGGCAAAACTTTTTCTAGAAAGGACTAGACGAATGAACAGAATACATTTTGATCGACACAGAAAAGAACCGAAACCGATAGAAAAATATCTGTACAGATTCTGCTGTCTTAATGTCCGTAGTAGGGTACACAATCGAACATATTTGGGAAAGACAGCCATCCATAGCAATTTTTCTTGTATTTGTTTTTAGGGATCGTACGCTCGGGTTGATAAAACATCTGCTACCGTCAGCTTGTCAGTGGAGCATGTTTGAGTAGATAGTCAAGAAGCTGTAATGGTCTATGCAGCTGAATTTCTATCCAGCACGGAGTGTCCTGAAAATTATGACTTCACAAAAGTGATTTCAATCGATATGAAATCACCTTGATAGAATTGCGACTTGGATATCCAGGTCCCCAGCCTTTAACGAAACTTATGGCCAATGTGCAGAAAGCGCTTCGCATTCCATCCACTCCAGAATCAGCCATCATTTCAGGGAAATTCTTAAAGAATGCTGCCATTTGGTGAAAATTCGGAGTACCATAATTTACCTCGACACCAGGGGCAAATCCAGCTACTGCAGCTGCTTGTGCCATAGCTGCCTCGCTAGCTGTCCTCGTTCTGCACATCATCTCTTGATAAGCCCATCTCAAGTCGAATACCTTGAAAATAAGGCTACATAGTTGCAATCATGTAGAAACCACTTGAGAACCTTCGCTCTGACAGCTCCATAATTCATTTTTGGCTGAGAATTAATCTCTAGCCTTTGATTCAACAGGCCTAGCGGCAGGAAGGCGGAGCTTTGTAACCTAATTGAGGCGCTCGCGTCCGCGACGCAGTCTGCGTCTCTCTCGCGCGCGTGCTCTCTGATCATTACCTAGCCTCAATTAGGCAAAGCCACCTTCCAGCCTCACCAACGCCAATTTGATGGAAAAAAGCAGCTCGCGCAAGCGTTTCGAGTGTCTGAATGTTTTGGCCGCGAGTAACGCTCATTAGCTGCTGCTTGAAGGCCACATCCACCCGAATCGAAGGGAGATTTTGACGTTGTATGATAGTGGAGCGCCTAACTAAGTAATCGCCAAAGTCCCGCTGAAAAAATTGAATCCCGAAGCGAGAAAAACGCTCCAGAAGGTAGAAACGGCCCAGGTGGCTCCGCCCATCATCGTGAATGGAAAAAGTCCAAAATCGGGTTTCAATGCATCTAGGGCTGTCATGAATCTGCTCTTCATTAGGATTCTCAGATTTCGACCTGCTATCTTGTAGCCTGCTATTGAGCAAATTATCTTCATACCACCTAGGTTGATACCCGGAGCCACCTGGACCGCTTCTACCTTCTGGAGCTATTTTCTCGCTTCGATATTCGTTTTTGCAGCGAGAGTTGGGCGATAGCCTAGCTAGAGGTCGCGTGGTCGCGCTATAATCATCAAAATCTTTGGATTCTCTCATTCTAAATGGATGTCCTTGAAAAGTAACTTGGTTGAAACCTCCCAATCAATACCCACATAGGGAAGTCCAGGTGATCTTGCTTTCAAACTTTTGCGAGTCAATCTCACCTGTGTTGGTTCATGTCCTTGAGTGAAACGATGTGGTTTGGTACCGTATGGCATCTTGCTACAGTAATCCAAATATCCCGAGCGTACGAAAATTGGTTTGTGCGATCTGCAAACCATCATCACATCTCCGGATGGTAGCGCACGAAGTTCTACGCCATCACCGATGTGTATTCTGCAAAGTGTCACTACTCTAGATTTACAGTATGATGATTACGGTAACTAACCTAGTTCTTTCGCTAACTTCACCACGATGTACATTTGGCAAAGCGCCAAGACAAAGTCTACCTTTGTGTAATGCTAATGGGTCCATTCCACCATCAATGCGTATTTCATCGCATCGAATCTGTTGGAGAGTATTTTTTGCAATTTTTTTTACAGAAGAAAAGTCTCCTGCTGTACCTTGAAGGTCTCTCCAATCTGTGTATCCAGCTCATAGTACATCACAGAACACCAATCGTCCGGTACTGTAACTTCAGATTTGAGACAATCAACAGATTAGAAAGATAATTATTTTTCGGCTTACGTGTTATGGAAGGCAGCTGCACCTGGCTAAGGTCATCTGAAAAGATCTTTTTTGCTAGAAAATTGGAACCGTTTGATCCACTCACAATTTTGAGGAACGGCAGGGCTTCCTTGAGCATTGGAGTGAGTCCCTGTAATGGATGAGAATTTAATTTCCATTCAACAATTAATAATTAATGCTCTAAAATGGGCATCAAAGTTTCATCGCAAATCACCTGGATACGTGTCCTGATGGGATAGTGCACAAGATGGCGACCATTCAATGAAAGCTTCAAATAAAAGTTTTGAGCGTAATCAGAGGAGTAATCTACGAGTTCTAGACCCATTTCTTTCTAGCTTTACATGCGGTGTTTTGAAAAATTCAATTTACTTTTGTACTCTGCAAAATTGCTTTTTCAAACCCTATGCCCTCCAAAGGGTCATTTTCTGTGCTTAGCTTTTCAAAAAACCTGTAAAACTCACGCATTGAAGGGTTCGAAGTCGCATTATCGGCCATCTCATAGTCTTGCATTGGATAGTCCATTTTGGCCATCAGTGATGGAGGAGGGGGTTCGACTCGCAAGGACTTTAGATCTGAAAGTAAGTAGAAGCTTGAAGGCAGTGTTCGCGCGGATTAGAGACCTAAAGGCTAGTGCATGACGAAGGCGCAGAAGCGGTATGGGTTGAGCGGGTGCGAACGCGGCGCGCGCGTATCCTTACCGTTGTAACTGCAACCAGATCGGTGCCTGAAAGGCGGGGCTTTATGGCCTAATAGACGACTGCCCGCGTTCGCGACGCAGTCTGCGCCTCCCTCTCAAACATGCTCTCTGATCATTTTCTAGCCCTAACTAGGTCACGAAGCCCCGCCTTCCATCAGCCGATCTGGTTGAAAGGCTATCCCGCCCCGCATGCGCTCTGGGGCCAACAAACTCGCGTTCGCGCTCAAAGATATTGCACCTTCGTCATGCAGCACCGTATAGATCTCTTATTTGGATACTTGTTGGGGAGTCCTAAGCAAGCCACTACCAGGCTAGGTACGACCTTTTATACTAGAAAAATTTTAGCTTCAGGCTCCCGCCCAGAGAACTCTTCCCACAAGTGATCTTCGTTAAATACGGTACGCTTTGGTCTCGGCTAGGGTACGAGCAATAGCTCGAAGATAATCTTTTCGCCAAATAACTTCTGCAGGCAATTTCCTATCCATTCTATCTTCATTCTATTCCATATAGAAAACCTAGGTGCTCATTTACAACTGGACAGTGTTTCAATAATCCAAAAATGTTAGCTGGTAGCTCGAAGTTGTTTTACGAAAAGTATCATGTCACGAAGTTTCGTAGTCTAACAATACGCCTATTTTTTTTAGAATTGTAGCTTACCAGGCGGAGCTAGGCCGTTTGATACCACACGCTCATAATGATACGGATTGATGCAGATAAAATCTTGATGTTCATTCGGTATGGTGCACATCGAAAGCTTCTGAAAAAATAGTGATTTTCCGTGGTCGTACTGGTTCCAAGATTTTTGACATCAAGCAAGTAAGCAAGGAAATAAGAACAAGGAAAGCGTAAGTCACCTACCACAAGTTCATTTTTGTTCACATTCGGCCATCGCCATATCCTGGCATAGACAACATGAGGAACTCCCTTACGTCCAGCTACTTGCAGACGACCATCCAAAGAACGCTGAAATTTGCTTTTTTTGGAGATGACTCTTTGGCAGACGGAAGTGTAGTGAGTCTACTTGTATGGTTACGCAGGTGGTAGGTTGTTTCCCAGCTGATGTGATGGCCGTAATCAATGCATCCAACTCGACTCGCTTCTCCTTCAACTTCTTCACTAAACTTTCAATTGCCTTCCGCACAAACTCGGCGTCTTCACCACCCTGCAGAAAATCGATATATCGATTACCACGTTGAATGACGAGTATTATGTACCTGCTGGTAACACTGCAACACATGGGAGATTTGCTGACAAGTGTCCATGGCAGAAGCGCCGAAAGTCTGTCCACTGCTGGTGGTGCCGGTTGTTGCGCCACCTCCGCCCGGATAGGCGAACGGCGGCGGTGGTGGCGCAGAAGCGGGCAGTGCGAAATTTTGCACCATGGGTGCAGGTACGACAGCCATGTTTGGGTTGACCGTGGACGGTCCGGGTATTCTTCGGTCATCAAACGGATGTGGGGGAAGTTGTTGTACGGGAGGCTTGAACGAGGTTTCTGGAGAAAAGGTGGGTATAGAAAAGTGAAGAGTTTTACCTGGGGGTACTGTGGTGGCACTGGAGGAGGCGGAGGCAGGCCGAATGGGAAGTTCCCAAAACAATGCGTTTGAGTTTGCATGGCACACATCATTCCCGGTTGATATGAGTAGGTAGAAGGAGGGAAATTCCCGTTATTCTGCATTAGAAAATTTAGCGACTTTTAAGCTGATACTGGATCTTACCATGTACTCCTGCTCAGAATGCGGTTGAGTAAAATAGGTAGAGGTAGAGGCACCAAGCGATGCCTCCGAGCTAATCATCTGCAATCATCTGATTCTTAGAGGCAAGTGGCTCGGGAAAATTGCAACTACGCGTTTTCTTTCCACCTTGGTCTTCTGGATGCGTTTAGACCAGGGCTGTGCTTGAAGAGCCAGAAAATGCTTTTTATGGCGTTCTCCAGTTTTGGACATTGCTGACGAGGCTGGAGCAGAGATTCCTGAGCCGAGTTGCGATTGGCTTCCTGGGCCGATCAGCCAATTGCTGCCAAAAGGAGTGGCGCTACAGTCTCCTGCAGCCAGTCACTGTTTTTGGCGAGAATCTCCGCTCCATTCTCCTCAGCGATCTCCCCGAGGAACACCATAAAAAGCGTTTTTTTGACTTTTCAAGCACAGCTCTGGTCTAAACACATCCAGAAGGCCAAGGAAAAACAGAAAGCGCCCAGTTGCAATTTTTCCGAGCCACTACCTTCAAACGATTTCGCAGACGAGGTTGTTCAGGTTAAGAGTGACAGGAAGTACGGGTGGAAGGCGTGAGATTCTATTTTTTCGCATTTTCCGCAATCATCAGATTTCCTATAGTAATGATCGAATTGCTGCAGCTTTTCTTTCGGATAGCAATGGTACAATTTCTACTACACTGTAACTACACTACACCAGTAATTACAGGTACCGGTAAGCAGGAAATTTGAACACAAACTTCCGACCTTGTTTTCTCGAATGGGCAGGTAATTTCCAGATAGAGGAGGATCATTGAGGATCTTTACTTGTACTGTTCTTCATACATTCACATACAGCTACTGTTCATCAAAAATCCCATACGGCTTTCTCGATCGTTCGAAATCATATTTCCAGACAAGATTTATATTGGCAAAATTCAATGTTGCACAAGTTGGCAAACTTGGTCTTTGAGCACGGCTATGCTTGATCTACATTATGATTAAAACAATGAATAAGATTTTTGGTTTGTAAAATTTCTAGAACTGTTGAGCTTTTATTTTTATTTCAAGCCTTTTCTGCATATGCGCTACGTGATTGTTGCAGTCTTCGAAAATCTGAAAAATACTCAATCATTGTGGGTCAATCAGGTATAGAAAAGCAAGAAGGTTGTCTGAGCGTGCTGTGTTGCAATAGTGCATCAAAATTGTTTTCAAAGTGATTTAATTTTAGGAAACTGGCCAAAAATGATCGAAATAAATTTAGAGTTATTTTGAAAATCAGCTATAATAAATATTCCTCTAGTAGTATCGGTGTAGCTGAAAAAAAGATGTTCCTTTGCTGTTCAACTGAAGCTTGTATATTTATGATCCAAGTATAAAAGAAAAACACCAAAAATCGTAATGACACGTCCTTTATTGCTTTTTAGACAGCTTTTCAGCAAGGCGCGGCACAGCTGGCACCAGATCAAGCTGGATATCGTTTTTGGAACAAAAGCAAAGGGGATAATATTTTTGTGGTCAAAAGGACATAAAAATTACGATGCTTCTTTGGTCGCCGTTTCGCTTTTTGGAGGTGTTTTGCGTTTAGGTTTTAGGGTCAAAGGGGACTTCGTACGAAATTCAAGATTAAAGGGTCGTTTTGAACCTTCCCTGGTGCCAGCCCATGCCGAGCCCTGCTTCTTAGCTTCTTAAGGGAGTGTCGTTTCAAAACAGTAGTTGCGTAATATTGCAGTGACGCATCGCAATGCCAAAAAATTAGACAGAAGCTGAATCAACTACAGAGAGTGAGCAACGATTTTGTCAACAGTTAAAGGTAGAAAACTTCGAAGAACTTCCATTATGTGGAAATATGAAGTGCTCCAGAGAATGGCTCGGAAGCTGGGTGCAGCATGTAGAGAAAATAAGCATCGAACTCATTCCAAGGACAGTTTAGTTTACTCAGCTGATCGATAATTTTATCACAAGATAAATAGGACGACACTCTCTCTGTACTGGTGTGGAGAGTGGGTGTGCTGCTGAGATAAGGCGGCGGTGAGAGGACGAGGTCGTTTTTAGGACAGGTGGCAAGCACATAGTTGAGCAAAATAGTCATGTAAAAGCTCTCGAAAAATTACTTTATGAACCTTTTTTCTCGCTAGAAAAATTGGAAATTTCAATGAACGAGCACCTAAGCAGAAAACGCCCTGATTATCAATTTGACAGTATTTGTTGGTTCAGCAAGAACTGATTTTCAGTTGTGTTGGGTTCGACTAAGTGGTATATCAAGTAGCTATCCGAAATATGAAGCTAATAAAATTATCTGATTATGAATCTTCAATCCGCTACAGCAAAAGTGCAGTAGAAGACTAGTTCTCGTCCACAGGCATGCGCCATACCTGATCCGCTTGATCCACTTGATCCACTTCATCCACTTCGCTATTGGTCAGTTTGCTGATTTGACTTATACGAAATGGATGAGGCGGATCAGGTATGGTGCGTGCAGAGGAAGAATGGGATCAAAATTTAGCTTGTAAGTCACTCCAAAATTTTTTTCAGCTTTCACAAAAATATAAGTCTCGAATAGGCAGCGTCCACATCGAATCGGGAACTTTGTTTTCCCTACTTGAGAATTACTGGAAAACCTTTATTAAGTTGCTGCCCAAGCGGCAGCTCCTACAAACTATATGAGGCTGAAAATTTCTACTCTGCACTCTCACCCGGACAGTATACTCTACCGTACTCGATGACGCCGACTGAAACTTTGGGCAAGGGCTGTAAAGTTGGATTTTCTTCCAATGAATGAATCTTATGGGCCGCCGTTTAGGGAAGGATCTAGTTAGAGCCTCTCAAGGATATAAGAAACCCAGGCATCCAGAAAAAGCTCTTATACAGCGTAAAAAAACCTGCGCAGATTTTTTGGGACCCACAGGGACACTTGACTACATCGAGAACCGCCGCAAAAGTGAAGCTTTGATGGTCAATCATAAGCAACGAACCACATGCTTGTGTTGCTAATGTTTCCGGTGGCACACTGCGCTGAACTATCAATAAAAACTTGCGGAAATATGAATTCCATCCTTGACATCATTGTCAAAGCCAATGATAAATTTCTAAATGACAATAGCAACATTTGCGACAAAATTGAAATGCAAAAAGCACGTAGTGCAGAAAGCGGAAATGGAGAGCGAAGCGACAGACCAAGTAAATCACAATTCGTTAGGAATCCAAACAGAACGATTTTTTCGAGATAACAAATTTCTCTTTGAAACCAGTCGAGTCTCAAAATACATTTGAAACTTGATTCTCAAAATACATTTGGAAAATTCACCATACTTTGCGGGACGTTTGCCTAATCAGTCATTATGGTTAAAATCTGCAAAAACGGAGATCAACTTAGCTTGTAAAAATACTTGCAATGCGAGATCAAAAATCCTGGTCCTTGAATTAATTTTTTATAAGTGTACCGCACCCCTCTAGCATGAAATTAGTTGGACTCTACAACACCAGTAACTTCACTGGTTCTAATAAGCTGCGCAATTGCGGCCTAATCATCAACAAAGTTTAAAATTGACCACGCTGACTATCCGTGCATAGATACCAGTTGGCGGGGGTTAACTAATCACAAGTGATCCAAATTTGAAGGCAGTGTACCGGCAAAATTTCGTTTTCAAATTTTTCATCTTTTCGGAGCCTTTTCGCCATGAGGAATCCATATCTGGAATTTTTAGCGCATGAAAGTGGCGAAAATGAGTTTTTTCGAAGCTTTTCAGGTCCGAATTTAGTGGAAAATACATGAATGCGGGCGGAGCTCGGAGCGAGAGGGGCGGGGTGCGGAACAGTTCTGGCTGTGCGGGTCTGAGAAACCTCAAGGCTTATTTTAGCCATTCATGCGCTGAAAAGCCCAGATGTAGCTTCCTCATGGCGAGAAGACTCCGAATACATGAAAAACTGGACAGCGACATTTTGCCAGACACTGCGTTCAAGGGATATGATGTATACGGTAGCAGATACGCTCGCAAAAGATGGTCGAAGATGTTGCCAGCGCGTAGCCACACAGATGCCTTTGGTGAACCAGTGTCCTCAGATGTGACACTTTCAAATGTGTCAACGTGAAAAATGGCCGGCATGTCGAAACCAAGAGATCGCCGAGGTGAAGAGCGGGCGGTGCGACATGCGGGTGCGCACACAAAGTGAGTAATGGGGAAACAAAATGAATGCAACAAGCGATGCATCAGCGAAGACATGGCAGGAATGATCGCCGAAGACACATCGAGGACGGCCTCTTCTCGGACGACGAGCTGGCGTCGTCGTCCAAGAAGAGGCATCGTCGACGCGCAACGAAGTGACAGCCGCCGCGCCGAGCGGCCGAGACGGTCGCGAGCCGCGCCGAGTCGGCGGTGCGCGGCTTCCGCCTCGGCCATCAGAAGTTCTTCAGCAGATCGCCGGCGACAAAATGCCGACTCGCTGGCGACTTCCTTATCAGTTGAAATGGATGTGAGGATGATGGATTGGTTCGTTAGCCTGGAGAAATCGAAATGGTTTTGACAGCATTGCGCAATGACAACAATAACCAGTCGGGTTACGGTAGCCATCACTGGTCTTCTGGAAGATTCGAGTCATGTAGTCTTGCGCAATATTTGAACTATGCTTGTCGCTAATTACCTTTGAAGATAATCTCGGCCCAAAGGACCACGTTGGTCAGAGAATCCACGAACTGCCGAGGAAGCCAGTAATTTCGCAGCGAAAAAAACCAATGACCAAAAGTTTCGTAAACACAAAGCTAGATGCTCTATTAATGAGCAAAGCGTAGTGCTTTCAGTTTAAGATATTCAAAATCAAGCACGAAACTCAACTTAATAGGTCCATTCTAGAAGATGTACCTTTGTGCAACTTTTTGGATTTATTTTTGGTTCCAGATGTATACGATTTTCGCAAGTTCTACAGCAAAAAATGACTTGAATAAGCTTCTTCTTCTTCTTCACGACTTAAAAACGATGGAGAATCCAATAGAAGCATGACTTGCTTTAGTTGACAGCTTATTTCCATTTCAAGTCATTTACGTTGGGCAAGACGGAAAATTGATTGGAACTAACATTTCATAAATTAAAAAGGACTTGCTATGATTCTGCTTCTTACGCAGAACTTCGACTTTCAACTTAAAAGGTAAGCTTTCAAGAATTTGATGAAGTCTAGTGCTGCCTTCATACTTTATGAATGAATAAATTTTTAAGTTAAGTTGGCTATCGAAAATGAATGTTCTGATAGATATTAAACGTTGAAACATATTGAATGCTTGAAAGACGGCGGAACGGAGCAAAATTAAAGGTGTTCCCGTTCGAAAAAAAATTCAGAGAGTTTTTCGTTCAGTGATCAGTTACCTGCAGAGTACAAGGCCAAACCAATGATTAATCACGCTGTTCATCAAAACTGATGTGCGCGACAAAGTGATCTTACAAACCGAAATGACAGCTCGGGTAACGTTGATACGTATTGTTTCTGCAGCAAAAGAACGAACATATCAAAATTCTACGCGGAAGACGAAAAGTTTGTTTGGGAGATGATTGAGCCTAAAAATGAAATAGATAACAAGTCCTTAAAGATCTCATTTTGAGAGTTGACCTAGTGTGATAATTTATCATTTTATTATATTTTGATAAATTTATTTGAGTGAAATGCTGTCATAAAACCTTTCGAGTTAAAGGGCACTGACGTCGAAAAAAAACGGTATCAACTATTGGCCAACATTTTTTAGCGTCATTTCGACCCTAGGTCCAAAACCAAAATTTCACAGGGGAAAATGTCTAGCTGGTATGAGATTTATCAAAAAGATAACAGTCATTTTTTTCATTATTTTCTTTGAAACGAAACCTTTTGATGTTCAAGTACGCCGTAATATAGTTCTTGAAGTCTCACAAAACCCTGCAAAAAATGATGCCCTTGGCATTTTTGCCCAAAATGATGAAGTTAGACCTGCTCGATAAAAATTTTCCTGCTAGTAGCCGTCAAAGTATCCATCGTTACTTCATACGAGGTCCTAGAGTAACCTTTCAAAAACACGAACCAAAGTAGTTGAAAGATTTCGATGAGATTCTGACCAGGTCATGAGTCAAGTAACGCGAAAAAACTAACTTGCGTGATTTTGAAATTTTAGAAAGAAGATTTGTGGATGATTTATGATTGAGTATGTACAATTTCAGACGCTCTTGATACATATAATGAAGACAAGAATCAAAGACTACGGTAACATACAGTACATGATTTGAAGCGTGTAAAAAGAGGAATAGGACCTGTAGTAGCCAATATGAAATAGCGAAATCCAGAAAGTTGAACTCGTCGAGGTCGCGGCGGGGGCACGTAGCGGGGCGCACGTGCGCAAGACGGCTCGCGATCGCTCGGAGAAACCGAAATCGAAACAAACGCCGGGTTGAAGCGCGTGGCAAATGAGAGGTAAAACGCCGCGCAGAGACAGCGAGTCGGATGCGGAGGTGCCAGACGCGGTGACGGGTGATCCGCGGAAATCTCGGAGCAGTCGCGCGACTGCCGGAGCTGCGCGCGGCTCCTGCAGCACATGCACTGTATGCCCTGTGTGTACCCCGTGAGCAAAGTTCACGGGGGCACCCGCGCGGCTCGGTGAAGATTGTTTCGAGAGGCCGCGGGGTGTTTTTGAACGATTGCGGAACAGTGGAACGCTAGTGCTATATAAACTGGAAATTGAGAAGGGATTTTTCTCACCATAGTTCCTAGTAGGGAGCATACATCAGATGATTTTATTTAGCGAAAAAGGTAGTAAACCGAAGTGCAGCAATGTGAAAATGAAATGGAAGTTAGATCATTACTTGTCAGGGGGAACTTCAATGTAACTCAATAAATACTACCCTTCTCCGGGCCCTTTTCTTTGCAAACTAAAGAATTTTAGGCTGTTGTCTCAGCGTTATCTTTCTGAAAAAATGATTCTCAGATTGTTAATGCTTTTCATAATTTCAGTTTATCTCAGTGACGATCCCCAAAAAACCCTCTGAGGAAGGGGGGGGGGGACAATTTTTTGTAAATGAGAAATGGAGATATTATGGAGATGGAGGTGAAAGATGTTCAGATTCAGGTGCTAACGTCACACACTTCAAAAAAAAATATTTTGAGATACCTCTCAAATTTTTGCTGGCCCATAATCCCCAAAATGTAGAAAAAGGGAGCGTGGCGGCAGTCTTGCCTCCGAAAAAAAAATTTTTTTTGCAAGGCTAATTTGAAGTTTTGAAACGTTTCAGAAATTACTAATTATTTACGAGAAAATAAACAAGTTGCACATTTTATAATAAATGCCCCACTGGCTTTTTTGTGCGTCAAGATTAATCAGAAAATGGTTTCCTTGGATTCTGCAAATGTAGGATGCAGCTCAGAATGACGGGATGCGGTAGCTATATCCTTTTCTGGAGCTTCCGCAAGGATCCATTAAGCCAATTGAACACTTACTTATTAGTTCAAAATAAAAGTCGCTCAAAAGATTACAAAATGATCGGAGTTTTAAAGATTTGTAGTACATAAATGCATGTATGGAAGAGATCCAGGTCTGCTAGGGGCGTAACTTGCCATATCGAACTTTGCTATCTTTTCAAATTTTGGCCAAAAAATACAGCAAGTAATAAACTTTCACAAATAAATGTTTGCATCATATATAAGTAGATGAAAGATTTGTAAAATATTTTGAGGCTGAAAATTTTTTGGAGCACTCAGGCTTCAAAAATTTGAGATAAAATATGAATTTTACAGATGCACAAAAGTTTTCTTGTAAATATTGCTTTCCTCTGTCGAGTTTTACTCCTGGTGCCCCTCTCATTGTTCACACATGTAGCCTAGGAATGACTGGTTCCTTTCCAACATCTTACAGTAAGCTTACGGTATGTGTTATGTTAATGCACCGAATGGAAAAATTCTTGACAAGCCAAGTATAGATCTTCCTATTACGAAATTTCACGTGAAAATCAACACTCTTCGAAGGAAATATTTCATACAATAAATGTTTCAGTAAATCATTGTCAATGCCACCGTTAATGGTACCGCACAAAAACTTCGTTGTTACGGTACTTTTTCACGAGAGAAAGCAAATTGAGAACAAGTGATCATGGCTGTTTATTGCGGACTCTAAACAGATGCATTTCCTCTGAACAAAAGACAAATTGCAGGCCTTTTATTTAAAAAAAGGTTTACTCATAATTCAAAAGCTTTAAAATGCTTCCCAAGAATATAAAATAAACCGTACGTAGGTTTCCTGTGTACTTTTGCAACATCTCATCAGGGTATCATTTTGATTTTCGAAAGCAAAGCTAAATAGGAGAAAACATAAATATTTACGTAATCAACTTGCGGTGCAAAAATTAGTGTTAGTAATCGTATAGGGAACAGGTAGAGCCACATAAAAGATGTAATGAAAGCAGTGCAGATGATTGCCGCCTCCCCCCCCCTGCCGTTCCTCCCCCGGACGAAAATCCTGCGACCGCCACTGACTGTTAGGTAGATGCTAGTGCGGAGGAAGGGGATAAACGGTAAGGGAGGAGGGTGAGGGGTCGTTCCTTAATCCGAGAATAGGAAACTGGTCTTTATGGCTCAAAACTTTGAGAATTTGTATTGATTTTTGATATTCTAAAAATGCATGAAAATAGAGATCAATATGTAGAGAATATAGAATGGAGCAGCATGGCTTAGTCACACCCTACGAAAAAATTTTGTTAGGAAGCCACGCCCCCTTTCATCTAAAAACCGATAGCTCTTCGCCCTCCACTCCGAAAAAATCCCTCAGATTGCCTGTGATAAAGCGTCAGATCAATTTCGTATTAGTACAGTAGGCCACTTATAAATATAATACTTCTTTTTCCCAAAGAGGAAATGCTTTCATTTACAGCTACGCTCTAGAAAAGAACTAAAATTTTACCATACTTGACTTATTCACAGAAAATTCTCAACTTACGTGGGACAAAAAAGTTCATAAATAATTGGACAAGAATTGATTTTTAGAGGCAAAAAATGTTAAAAAGATGCTGGAAAAAGACGAAACAATTATTGAAGATTTCAAGCGCTTTGCAAATTGATAAGGTTTGGAGAGGTAAAAAAAGCGGTAATGAGTTTAGCCATAAGATGATTTACAATTTCACTTTATGAAATCATTATTTTGTGAAATAAATGCTTTGCAGCAACAAATTCACAGTTATCGTTTTTTCTTTAAACTGCACTAAAAAGTATAATAGTGTTGCAGATGGACTAGAATTTCGCTATAAAACAAGTATACCCATCCATAAAAATCAATAATTCGGATGATCCATACAAGGAATGACCATAATAGTAGCTGTAGGCTGAGGTGGTGGCCCTCATCTGCACATTCGCCACGCCAAGGCAATGATGATTTTTTTCGGGAGGCGCGGCGCCAAGATGGCGGCGCTCGAAGGACGTCCGACCTCCAATCCTAGCGATTGAGGCGCCCCCGAACAGAATGAGCCTCAGTGCCCACGTAGACATGATGGTGGACGTTTCGACTAGACATACAGACTCGAATACACTTCAGAGAGCTTTCACAAGAGTATCGGCTACTGTAGGTTTACTGTAGCTACACGGTTGCTCTGGATGGAATCATGCTCGAATACGAACTGCTTGCATAGGTAGTTTTGCGAGCCAGGATAACAATCGATAGAGTAAGGTTTATGTTAGAATTAATAGAAAAACTCTTTCCTGGTAAAATATGCGGACAAACACTCGTTTATGCATGTAGGAGTAGATGAGAAGCCGTAAGGCTTACACCCTGATCTTCAAAGCTTCGCATACGAATTTCCAAGCAAAGCTTAGGTAACTACTCAAAATTTTTTAATCCCGGTAAGGAAGTTTAATCGCCTACATCCTGTCGGCAATAGTGCTCCAATGTGAACGTCGCTTTGCAGCCGCTAGCATAAGCTTTCAATCAGTTTATTTTGGCACTGCGCCAAATTCGCTTCTGAAATTTTTATAAATACGATTAAATCCTGATTTTGAATACTTTCTGTTTTTCTGCAGTAAAAATATAGACCGTGCCGTTCTCAGTTCTGGTTATAAATTTGATCTCTGATTCTACTTACTAGGGAGGGGAATGCAAAACGATTTGGTGGATCCATCGATATCGCCTGGTGCTACACCTCATGTGGCGCAACATGTAACGGTTCCATCTCAACCCATGTCAGGACCTTTGTCCGTAAGTTTCAAGAATTGTTTTCAGAACAGTCCAAGCTCTTCCAGAAAACAGTCTTTGCGCAATCATGCTATTTTGATTTTTTTTTTACTTTTGATTTCCACTGGAACGTTTTTGATATACTTTCAATATATGGTTCTCAAAGCATGTTTACTATAGCTTTTGTTTTGGGATATGGTTTTTTTGGGACTTTGTTTCCCGGTTGAAGCTCAAAACATTCTGTTCAGCAAACACCTTCCACGTCTAATGTAGAACAAGAACAACCGGATCCGAATCGAGCACGTAAGGTATGTGATTGAGAAGGTTTTTCTCGTTCTAACATTGTTCAAACTCAGGTGGCTGAGGTATTTCTTACCGCTGGTCATGCCTTCCAAAAGTTGGGCGATTTAGCCATGCAGCTGCAAATGGGTCCGTCGTCTATACCTACTGAAGAGTGAGTTTTTTTTTGACTTGCATTTTCTTTTTTTCTCCTTTGCGCTGCCAATTTCACATGTGCTTTGATTGACAGTTTCTCCAATTTTTCTACCTTATTATAGTTTGCAATGGAGCTTCCTGGTTCTTATACTTTTTGCATTTCATTTGTTTTCTTTTCTATTCAGAAGGTGGAGCGAAAACAATGTTGAACACTTGCGTGAAGCTCTCACTAGATTTGCTCATGAGCTTGATCAAATAAGCAATAACGTACAAGCACGAACGACGTAAGGTTTTGTTTGATTGGTTTTTCAAGTCTTTTAACTTTAGGTGTTTCTCGATTCTAGTTTCGACGTTCCGGTAATGTTTCTTTTCAGCAAGATGATTAGCACCGATATTCGACGGCGGCACCTGATGCCACAGCGACCGCTAGCTTCGTCAATATCAGCAATGAAACGTCAACCAGCCAAGCTTGGTCCAGTTATCGTACCGAAAAGACTGAATGTAACTAGGCCTCGGGTATGTTCGTCCATAGTTAGTTTCATTATTGACTTCCTGTGAGTTGCCACATGTTTTGAGATCATATTGATACCTTCGCTTTTAGCAATATATGCCAGCTCGTCTGTCCACCACACCAGGCATATCGCAAGTTGTTGTGCCAACGACAAAGACTTATCCAATGGCTAGAGCTGGCACGTCTACTTTTGGTGGTCAACGTCAGTACGTTATGTCCGTTCCCCAAGCGGGACCATCTCGATCTGTTCCGATTGTGGCTGGATCTCGTGTCCAAAACTCGTCAACTACGGTACATCCGCAGATGTCGAACATGGTCTCACACCAGGGTCCTCCCACTTTGGTGCCAGTAATGCTGGACGATGCACCGCCACGTTTGGATCAACGAATTTGATCCAAGGCAGGTTTTCGTTCTGTTACTTTTACGTTTCTCTCACATCTAGGTGTCCTTTACGCTTTCGTTCACATCTAGCTTGTTTTGGCTGAAGCATCAATAGACATCTTGAAATCGATTCCCACATTGCTACTATCAATGAGATCAAGATGATATCGTTGAGATCTCGTTGTAAATGTTGCATAGTCGCTAAGTTATCGCGACTGTCTTTCAGTATGCTCTGGTTTCAAAATGACAGATTTGTTACTAACATTAGGATTAGCTAGGTTCTTCCAAACTTTTTCATTGCCGTTATTGCTTTATTTCACTTATATGAGCGTGTGATTTCACATGGAGAGTGTAAACATCGCATAGTATATATTTGAACAGATTATACACTTTGTACAATTGCATTTGTAGCTATTCATGAGGCTAGAGTGCTTCTTCTATTTCATTTTGCCAGTTTAGAGACCTAACTGTACTCAGAGTTCACTTTGTTATAGTTGTTGTTGTTCTTTCGCTGTAAGCGTTTTGTTCTCTTCATTATTGATTGAACAGATTTGATAAAGTATAGATTGTTTATTGCATAAACAAAACAAGATTTCTGCCTATGTCGCAGAATACAGTTTTCCTTTAAGTTCCTGAGAATATTTCAGGTTCTATCGCTATCTTTTTGCATCTGAATTACATGAAAAATTGAGCGATAAAGTTTGCAACACCAAATAGAATTATAAGAGAGTGAATGGCGATTTTAGGTTTTGTCAGTGTGTTTTGCCGACGTTGCTCTTGCATGTATACTAAACATGGCAACGCATACGAGTAAACGACTCCAGAGATGGCACCAACATATCTAGAAGTGGTCATTACTCAAACGACAAAGTTTTCTTTTTCTTATGTTGTTCTTCAACTTACCGCACAATGTTTCCGATGCTGGGGAAAAATATGGCAGTCAAACCGCCACAGATCACAACAATTAAGCTGAGACCTATGACATAAGGTAACCTAAACATCGCGTTATAAATCGGTAAATCAAAAATACGTTTTCATACCCAGGGTAGTTCTTCTTAAAAATAAAAGTTGAGAGTTGCGTACGAATAAAGAATACTATGAGCGGTAATATCGTGAATAGTTGGAATAAGATGAGCACTCGAGAAACTGCACTCCATGGGTAACTTGCGCTGAAGTTGTTGAGAAGATTCTAGAAATGAATTAAAAGCTAGTAGCATACGAAAATCAGGGCTTTATTGGTACCATACAGACTAAATCTATTTTTCCCAATCAACTTCACTGCGATGGCGAGTTGTGCACGCAAAAATATACATAGTTGCGTCCGACTGAGACAGCTTGTGTTTATAGTCGATTGCCCGAAATCGAACCTACGAAGTACGCTATACAAGCAAGTGACTGGCCGCGTCGCCATGGCTTGCGGGCTACGCTTGGCATTAAAGCGCATGGGTCACTTTAGCATGTTTCTCGCTAATGTGCAGTTTGACTCACCCTTTGCCATTGCGAGTGGCAGAATACCTAAACCGTGCAAAAATGTTTTAGCGCAGTATGAAGGGACCCCCATACACTCAGTTTTCCTATGAAGCCGCGTTCTCTTTCACACACTCAAATTCTCATACAGTGAATATTTCTAAGCTTTCCTGACAGAAGTGATGTCATACTCCTTGGTCATTTCCTAGTTTTCCTCCATGTACTGTGCTATTCTCAACGGAACTAAAATCTTAGTACAAATTACCTTTAATTTCAAGGCTTTCTTCCAGAAGTAACAAGGAATTTCTGAAACATCCTTCATTTATTCTACCAGAAGTTAGCTGATCTTTTATCTCTTAATTCCATGCACTGGATAGGATAAAGCTACTCTTCACGATCAGAGAGAAACCCTCACACATACGTCAGATCTGACCGAGTAAGCGATCTCTTCCACAGCTCTAAAATTTCATACGGTGTTGAAAATTCTCTTTCATTATAGCATTTCCCTCAGAAACCTAAAAAAATGGCCTCCCTTAGACACCTTTCGTTTTGTTTCCAAGGATACCGTGATTTCTTTTATAAATATAAAGGATAAGGGACTCGGCGTCTTCAGTAATCTCTGTGGGCACGCCTAACGCCCTTCTCTTATTCGAAGAGGCTAGTAGAAGCATGCGGGCCTATTGCAATGACTTGAGGCTACCCGGTATCAAGTCAGTGTTTTTATCCTCTCAGATTACTTTGGTATCAGTTTGCCGTCCCCGGAGGGTATAATAAGTTTCAACTCAGTTTAGGCGGAAGTTGGACCGGCGAGAGTCCGCTTCGCAACAATTCGCACCGTTTTGCAGTCTATCTCGCTAAGCCAGCGGCAGTGCGGACGCGCTGCTCCACTTGGAATGTTTCGGCTACTTCGGATTAAAAAAAACTGTAGATGGTTTGGTTGGCCCAAGGGCAGGATCGAACTTGGTCCGACCTGGTCATAGCGGCGTCTCACGCTACGTTACTCGTCTTCCGTGATTTCTTTCATATATATGAAATTCTATACCTTATAATCCGAATTCCAAACCTGTCCTGCTGGAGTAACGCGGTATTTCTTGGACATATGTACAAGAAGTAGCATGGTTTCTTTCACGTATGGGTCATCCTCAAAATCGTGACGACGAGTCGACTGCGGTCTTTGCGCACACAGGAGCATAAAACACCCATACAAACAGGCACAACCTCTACGTTCAGCTCAATCAGTTTTAATGTCTAAGTACTACCCCATGTACGCAGAAATATTCGAGTAGAGATATAAAGCAATCAATAGAATTGCGTCGTGTCACGCGCGGCCGCACCATCGTCACGATTTTTCGAATGCCCTAGGGCTAAAACCACAGAGTACAAAATTCCTTTATTCTATAGCTTCCCTTCAGAAGTGACGCTGAACCTCTTAGACACCCCTCAATTATCTTACCAAACTACTGTGATTTCTTTTACATTCCAAACTTCTACGGGCTGAATCCAAACTTCAAGGCTTCTCTCCAGAAGTGACGCGAAACCCTTCAGACTCTGCTTTTTTACCAGAAGCACAAATTTTTTTCATTTTTTTTTACATTTCCAGAGTCATGGGGCAAACACGAATTTCTTAACACTCGAAGTTTGCCCGCTCATCGAGTCAAGACTTCTGTTGTTCTATCAAATAGACCTCGATAAAAAACCGAGGAATTCCATACAGTAGAGGGATGAAGCAAAAGGAAATGAATTTCCGCCAGCCCAACCAACCATAGCGCCTTTGGTTAACTGAAAGCAAACAACCATAGTGCAACCAGTCCGACCGATAGTGCACCCATCCAGACAAAGGGACAAGTATTCTACTTTGCGTTGATGTCTCTTAATTCTGAGGATGCGACTTGTTTTCGTATAATTGTAATTGTACCCCCTAAGTAATAAATGACATAACTACAACATTTTGATTTTCAGAGTTGCAAAGGAAGATAAACTTACATCCTGTACATAGTCCTTCTTAAATGGGTACGCGATGTAGAAAGAAATTGCTACAAATGTGTAACTGAAACCAACCAGTACATAACCAATGCTGAGATCTCTAGTCTGAAAATTTCAATTTTTTTTCAAAATCTCAAACAAGCGTTGGAACTCACATTATTTTCGGGGTTTGCCTGATTTCTCAAAATTGTTAGTATACAGTTTTGTATGAAGTATGACATTGTCAGCGTTCCAGTCAACGTGGGAAATCTCCAGTTAGCAGCTGAAATTATTTGCAAGTATAGATCGTGTGCGCTTGTAATCGCAACTTTATCCCTCCCATCTCATATATTGAAACTTCAATGTTTTTTGCTTTGAATTCTACGCTAGTGATTCTTTTATTCTATCACAAACTCAAAATGCTTCTCACCTTTGGTGTAGACCTCCGAATTCGTATCCGTCAATGACACATGGACTCCACATTTGATTAGGCGAGCCCCATTGAAGAGCACCAAGTAGGCAATGGATATAGTGCCCAGGACGTTAAATTTTGTGAAAAATGTAGGAGATTTGAAGTTCAAAAGTGTAAACGTCACTATTGACAGCAGAATGGGTACACTCAGCTAAAATACAGTATTTTTATGCGAGCGAACACGGAAGAGACGACTGATACTCACTCTCAACTGCCACAATTCATTCCATTTCAGTCCAAAAAGGATCTTTGGTTCAAAGGTATAGTTTCCGCTAGATTCATCTTCCATTTGACTTAGAACTGAAATGGAAAACTCAAGAAGTTGTCTGCTGAGTTGTTTCGCAACTCTCGATTTGTTTTTCTTGATAGTTTATACTGTTGGAATAAATCGAATTTTTTACGAGTTTTCTAAATGTATGAAAATTTCTGAAATTTGCGCCTACATTTGCCAATTCTACGCCAATTTGCGACTGGACATCCAACAACAAGTGGAAGCAGACCACTGCCTCCATTATGTTTTCGTAATCACTGCTCACTTACTCTCCCCCCCCCCCCCCGTCGTGTGCCAACTCCCTGCTCGTAGGTAAAATTTTGCAAAATTGATCAAATCCATATCAGTCAATGACGAAAAGAGGCCTATAACACCAATGACGTACCGAAGGGGGTGGGTGGGGGACGTCCTTCTTTAGTTTTAGAAAATTTTTTCAGGGGTGTGGCTTACGCCACATTCCCTTTCTTGGAATTTCGGAGTTATGGGCCCGCGAAAATCTCGGGAAGCATACCAAGAATTTTTTTAGAGCGCGTGACTAATGCCAGGCACCTTCATCGGAGAAAACTTTTGTCCTTTTGTTTAAATTTCGTTTGAGACAAAATCTATCTCATAAGCGTATCCCACCTTTTTCACCAATTCTTGGATTGTTGCTACCCTCAACAAGCGTACTTTCAGTTGTCAATCGTAAAAATCTGACAGATATGCAGCTCAAAATGCAAAATAAGTTTTCGAGACTTTCATCATACTTGAAAATTTTGCTGCATGAAATCATCAAGGTTAGACCGGCATCTATACTTATATAAAGCTGAGTTCGGTAAATTGTTAGTTAGTGTGTTCATTGAAAAATTTTTTGTATGTGGACCGATTAGGCCAAAAGGTTTCCTACACCCGATACCCCTCCCCCCGTGGGCTACTTTTCGCGGCGAAACTCCCACTCCTTCTATTGAGTTATGGGTTTCAAAGAGAATTGAATTTTTCATCACTGCTTTCAGACAAATTTCAAATTTCATGTAAACGAAAGCTGTAACTCATTTACAATTCACGATGAGGGAGTGCGATAGTTGAAGGCAATGGCTGTTGGTATCTCTGCGCTACTCGAGAAAGAGAAGAAAGCCAATATCAAGAGTTGGGCCTTTAGTTGCGCATCATATCGCTCTGCGTTGAACCAAGGTCCACGATGTGAGCGAAACCGGACATGCCAGCTAGTGATTTGATAAACTCAGCTCGTGCAAAAAACTGCTTCTATAAAGCTGAAGGAAAATGACACGTTTCAAAAAGGCTTGAACTCATTACCTTTTACTATAAGCTTTAACTTGACTACTTCTTACTTATCAAAAACCTTACAGCTTATGTTTCTAACAAGGGAAGCTTGTTTTTGAAGTGGCCTTTTTGAATAAATGTATACCATATAAAAGGGCATAAAATGCTGATTCCAAACCTGCCATTCGTATCTGCAGAACGTTTATGAACGAAGAGTTATGAGCGTTTTTGGAGTCTTGAATGATTTTTAATAAAATGAGTTGCTAAAATCTTACACTCCCTTAATTAACGCAATCAAGTGTGATATATTTTTAATTTTAGAGTATTTTTCAAAAATAAAGTGCTATGATGATTATCACTGCTCCATGTAGGAGCTAGAAAAAGTATTACGGCAACCCATTCACACTTTCAATTTTTTGCTCTAATAAGCGCTCATAAGTACTCGTCCATGAATGTTCAGCAGATAAAAAGGGAAGATTTTAAATCAGCATTTTATGTCCTCCAGTAAAGTATACATCCCATCTAAAAAGCCACTTCGACTAAACATGCATTCCTTGTAACTTATATAAAGTCTGCCCCAATAGGGATCAGGCCGAACCATCGGCGTAATTTGCGCTATCGCAGCACTTGGGTTTGCGCTGCATGCACCGCCTGAGGTGTCCCATTAGGAAGCAGCTTAAATAGTATTTGATCGTAAACTGGCAATAAGAAATAAACGACTAGATCCCTAGTTATTGACAGTTGTTTGTTCTTCCCTTCTGCTTACTTCCGGCTTTCTTTTGAAATTCAAGAATCGTAAAACTCTGACTCACAGTCACATCGTGCTTCATTTTCCAATCCAGAAGTTTTGCTTGATGGGTGTGCAAGCCCTGAACCGATCATCAATAAGTGCGTCTCAAGTGCTTGAGATTACTACCGTATATTAGGTTTCCCGTGAAAAATAGGAAGTTGGACATAAGTACATAATAAGCGAGAACAGCACCGCTGAGAACAAATATCGAGAAAAGGATAGCAGTGACTTCTCCTGGACGTCCGAGGTACTCACGACAGACTTCCGTGAATTCGACGTTGTTCGCGTCAAGGTGCTCTGAAGACCAGTTCTTTTCATGCGCTTTTCTCTGCCTGGATAGCTCATCCCTTACTCAGTTTCTTCGGACTCTTTACAATCAAGTATGTCGTGTACCAGCAGAGCACTCCCATTGCAATGAAGATGAACAAGCCCACGAATAAACCCGTCTGAAACTGCATTTTCAAAAACGTATTTTATGGCATCCAAATGGAAAATTATCAACTCTAAGAATAATTCTTCATGAGGGCTCCATTTTGATTTATAATGAGCAGAACTTGCAGCAAATTTGCGCCTGTGGAAGTTATTAATTTACAGTGATGCCGAGGCGAAGGTCTTCTATAGTCCTACACAGAAGGTTAACAGCTCCTCTTCATAATATAGACGAAATTGACTTGTTCGCCTTCTCTCTAAGTTGTACTGCGGTTCAGTTACCCATGTTTATGGTAAATCTTTGCGCAATCCGTGTTATTAGTTTGGTGGTCAATTAAAGAATCTAATGGCAACAGCGCGACTTTACTTTCAATTCACGTATCCTTCTCATGACTGCAAATGCAATGACTGTACCTGGTGTAATGCCCAAGGCATACTGATTAGTGAAACACCCATCATCGTATTCCATAACGAAAAACTGAAAGAAACGTATATAATCTTTGATTCAACTGGATTGGCTGCTAAAAGGCGGGACTTTGTGATCTAATTAAGGTCACTCGTGCTCGCCCTCTGATCATTCCCTAGCCTTAACTAGGTCATGCCGCATCTTCCGGCCGCCAATCCAGTTGAATTAAAGGGTATGTCTTGCATAATTAGCAATGAAAATTGGAAAAATGCGAAAACCAAATTGTCACATTTTTTTTTCTGAAACTTACTGAAACTTACTGCTATCGCCGGCTGCTCTCGATTGAAAAAAAACGTAAGCATGTTGAATAAGTGAGAACATCTGAACAGGAAATGATACTCGGTGACCCCGGCCATGTGGAATGCGATGTATAGCATAAGTTGCATCTCGAAACGCTGATTCTAAATCTGTGCTCGAAATCTGCGAAACGATCATTTGAAGGCAGTTATGAACTTTTTTTGTAGAAAATTTGCTTACTTTTGGCTAGTTGAAATCACCCAATTTGATCTATTTTATCGTTTGAAGCTATTGAGGAGAATCTTGAAAGGTGTTACGTTGTATTTATACCTATCTAAACAATATTCAGCATTTGAAGAAGAAAGAAAAATATTTATTAGTAATTTTCACCCTTCGCCGTAACGCAATTTATTTTTGAAGAAATAATCATAACTCCATCCAGGTCCTCGTTTCGCAGATATAAAAGACAGTATTTGAAGCAGCATTAAAAGGCGCATTTTTTGATATACAAACCATTATGATTGGCCGGGGTAACCAAGTATCGTTCCCTGCTAAGCATTCAACAGCGCTAGACAGCTTCTAATGCAGTTGTTTTGGAACATTCATAAAATATCCCCAGACAATAATTTCCTTTCTAATGTAGTAATTTCGTTTTTCACGTGTTTTCTTAGCTTCTTCATGGGTGGAGTAATTAGCTTCTGATGCACTAAGACCAAAAAAACTTATCAGTCATGTGACCCTTTCAATAATTAAGTGACTTTCAACAAACACTTCAGTCCTCAGCTGTAGGTTCGCATTCTATGTGAACACTTGAATGCGGTATTACTTTCTTCCCAGTGGATGTAAGAATTATGTATTCTACTGAAGAACGAAACAGCATTGAATAAGGCCACAAAAAAGCGCAAGATGATAGAACATAGCAATGACAGAAATTCCCCTATTGAAATAGTTTTTGCTTTCTCGTAGCTCAGTGCTACTGTTTATTTTGATCATTACGCTAGTTACTCACATGGTTACAATGCTACTGTTCTTCTTCGGTTTTTCACCCATGCTTTTGAAGATTCAAGTCCGAAGAGCTCTGCAAGTAGTATAGAAAGGAATAGGTTGCATTAATGACGAAAAAAGTGAGAAGATACAAGACGAAGGAGAAGATCTAAGAGATTATACTCAAATCGTCTAAACTTGCCAGTAGCATTTGGAAAATTTTATCAGTGACTGAGTCGTCATCGCTCTGCTTCTAATCAGATTATTTCTTATGCCTTGCCAATATTCTGTATGACCTTATGAACGCAGCAAATGAAGAGAACATATCAAAAGTCTTGTAGATGAGGAATCTTCTGCACTGTGCTCTGAGTTATCCATCCTGAGAACAAAGTTTAGCAAATTGCTGCTGTACATATTTATGTCAGCTGGCGAAGTCAAAAGACCACCGGTGAATCTTTTTTATTTACAACTAGCGTTAGTTGATAGCAAACAGGGATACCCAACTACGGGTGAAGTACAATGTCAACAACAATACCCAAACCAGTAATCAAATCAGCATCAAGGTCTCAAAATAAAGGGGCATCTCCTGAAGTCGGGTTAAAGGGGCTGAAGTCTCAGTTGAGCGTAAACGCCATTGAAGGATTGAATTAAATGAAACTCCACTTGACATCTCAAACTAGAGAAGGCCGATGTTCATAGAACTGCAAAAGGGATCATCAAAACTTATGGTATCACTGACCAATGCCTAAAATGATCTAGTCTCAGAATTTTTTCTTTGGCAATCGCCATTTACTTCGCTTCATGCGCTTCCGAACAAGCATTGGGTAAACAAATTATTCACCACTAATCTGTCATTTGGCAAAGTGGGTAAAAACGATAAATTGGGGTACCCTTTGTTTCAACTGGTCTTGCGGCTGGAAGGCGGGGCTTCGTGACCTAATTAAGGCTAGTCAATGAGAGAGCACACGCGCCGGAGACTGCGTCGCGGGCGCGAGCAGCCTTAATTAGGTCACAAAACCTCGCCTTCCAGCCGCCTAGTCAGTTGAATCATAGGTTATGATGTGTGTCTCTAATTTTGCAAAAATTTCACGGAAAGAAAGCAAGAAAGCAGTCTGTTCAGCGTTGCAGCCCAGAAATATCATTTTACTGAGGTGTTGACAAATTTGAGAATTTTGGACCTTGACACTGTTCTTTGCTTAGTGATACGCGAACTTTCCACTGTGGTGTATACCCGGCCTCTCACCACATCTCAAAGTTTAGAGCTGTGAGCAAATCTGTTTCTTATAAGAGTTTTCTGAAGCGTACTTTGCTAATATTTCTCTGAGCGCAATGAAATATTGAGATCAGGGAATCGTATAGTAAGTGAATAAATTCCGTATTTGTTAATTCTCTTCAAATCTGAGGCAAAATAGTGTTGTGCGAATTAGCATTGAAGGCTTTGGGGAAATAACACGAGATTTCGAGGTTGAATGTACGATCTAGGAAAATTCGTGGATAATCTAGGATAACTTGTGTCTGTCTTGATGTCTGATTTCAAGCTGGATGAATAAGTTGAAAAAGAAATTTGTTGCACTGTTTTTTTCGGCAGTAAATCCCAGATCACTAAACTGACTTGGATAAATCTTCTCAGTTCACTGACATCTTACATAATGTTTTGGGATAGGTTATACAGCAAATTAGTGTGCAAACTTTGACTAAACTTGTCTAGAGGATTTATCTGATGCGGTTCGAAAATGGTGCTTCAAAATTTGCAATTTTGACTTTGATGCTAGATATCTGCGAAAGTCTCTAGTTAACTCCAAAATCTGTAAATTCTTACGAAGCGATAGTCAAATCCAAATTAGTTTCGTAAAAGAAAATTGGAGAAGTGGTCAGTATGCTTTTTACTGAAAAATTCTAGAATACAGGCTCCGAAGAAATTATGCAAATTATCAAAATCGAAGATATCAAAGTGACAAAAATCTGTCGGACTGCACTGCGCCATCCATATGTTCCTCACAATCAGTGGCAGGCTGAAGCGATAAGGTAGATATGGTTGAAGATCAACTTTTTTATAAGAAGCCATTTTGAGGTAATCAAATCGTCTTGAAGAAAATTTTTTATACAGCTTATTCGAGTTTTTAGAAGGACGTTCATCTTTTACAAGTAAAATGAAGTCAATCGCCGTTTTTGTACCTTTTCTTGTTCGCATTGAAACAGTTTTTACTTCACAACAAACGATTACTATCATTCAGTCCGTGAGCTAGTTTGTTGATTTGGACAAATTCACCTGACCTGGGAGCACATCTACTCACTTAAAGGCACTGCCCACCCAAAATGGAGGTTGGCGAGATTATGATGGCATACTAGTGTGGGCCCCCACACTGGACAAACCCTTAAAGGCAGCGCCCGAGCAAGGTCCGCCCACCCAGATTAGCACATAGTTGTAAAGCGGGCCCCATGAGTATCCGATCTGCGGTGGTCCGATCCTTTAACGTGGTCTCTAAAAGGAGATGCGGGCCTGTGATACGTATCACAAAAGCCCCTCGTATCACAAATCTCCCCATGAGGACGTGTGCTCACGCATCGATCGATCATGGATTGCAACTGCACCCATGCAGTTGCAGCTCCTCCTCATTGGTGAGCCGTGGGAATAAACAATCCGAAACTCGTCCGCGCCCTCAAAGCAGGGTCCCCAGGAATTGGGCTTTTTGAGGGTTTTGGATAATTTGAACTTTATAACCGTAATCAGGGCCACGGAAACGCCCTAGAACGACAAAAACATGAGAGGCAAAATTTTGCCCAGAAGCTCTGCCTTTAAGCCTCGCCGCAAAAGACTGCTGGAGCGAGAAATCCTCTCCGGAACGATCGTGGTCGCCCCGCCCATTTGCATGCTTTATCTCGTCTGCGCTTGTTGGGGTTCTCGCAACAGGGATTTTTGGGGGTTTCGCGGATTTTCGACTCCATATTCAAAATCAGGGCTTTCAGAAGGCCTGAAAGCGACAAAAACATTGAATTCAAGATTTTGGGTGGACGGTGCCTTTAAGACTTCAGGTGCATTGTCTCGGCAGGTGTTGAGTGCGAGTTTTTTGCATTTTCTGAGCCTCTACGTAATGCTGTATCTGAATGACTTCGGATCAAATGAAAGGACCAAAATCAACGCATTTCCTCACTTTCCAAATGGAAGTTTAGTAGGGAAGCGGGGAGCTTTTGAAGATAATCCTTGCGCTTATAATTCTCACACAGTGACGTACCCAGGATTACGGCTCGGGGGGGGGGGTGCGCGACAAAACTTTTTTTCCGATGAAGGTGCGTGGCGTTAGCCACGCTCTCCGAAATTTTTTTTCGTATGCTTCCTAAAATTTTCGCGGGCTCAGAACCCCGAACCCCGGGAAATTTTTTTCATGAGGATAAAATGAATTTTTTTTAAAATTTTGAAAGTTATTCTATTTAATTACAAGTGCAGACAAATCTTTTTCGCGATTTCATAATCCGTGTAAGTATCGGGTTGTATAAGTTCCGTCCGTTCTAGATTTCAATCGCGATATATAAACTTCTTATTACGTTCCAAGGTACTATTCGATAGAGCAAGGTAAGCTCTACAAGAAGGCTATCTCTACAGCTTGCCTCAGTTGCGTGCCTTACGCTAAAATCCATATTTCTTGAGAATAAGTGCCTGTAGAAAGCTGAAAATTTAAATTTGTTCTTCTACGGGCTAGTAGTATACAACCTAGGGACAGCACAGCATCGCCTTGGCAAAAACATGAAAATCTTCGCTTCCTTCTAACCATGGAAAAATACGGCAACAGCGTATATAAATGTCTTAGAGGACAGTTACGCGAGCAAGTTAGAATTTTTGAGGATTTTTTTGAACGGGGTATGATTTTTTCTCGATTTTTCGGGCGGTTGAATCTTTTTAGTTTTCGCCTTGAGTCTCGAGATAGATCAGAGCTGGTGCAAAAGTGAGATAGCCTCCTTGTAGAGCCTGCTTTGCTCTATCGAATGTTACCTTGGAATCTTTCTAAAAACAAGATGTTCATAATCTATTGCGATTGAAATTCAAAACAGACGGAACTTATGAGACAACCTGATAACTTTCAAAAGTTTCACGACCCGTTCTCTCGCCAACCCCGCCCCCCCCCCCTGTACGTCACTGTTCTTACAGTATAACAATTACGCAAGCTGTGGTGGTTTTCCACAAAATAGGTGGGGTTATCCAGGTTCGGACCAAACTGAGGCTCGCGCCTGATTCAGAAGATGTTTTTGGCGAACAATGGATGAATCTGATATGAATTGACTAGGAGGCCAACAAGTAAGCTGCTGTCCAGCTGTGGTCATTTTTCCAAGACCTTCATTCTGCCTGGACGCTGCCTTTAAGGGAATGAAATATTCAATTATTCGCAAAGAATTTGGCTTCAAATCTCCTTTGACCTCTTTCACAACAATTTTAAGTTCATCATAACGATACGATATAAATTTTGCCGTCGCATCGGCATAGCGCATGCACTAGATTTTGAGTATATTTACATAAGCAATGAACATCACTGTACACGGATAAACCGTGAGTACGTAAAATACAGGGTGTCCCAAAAAATGTATCGAACGTTTGATCGTTAATATCTCTCTTCTAAAAAAGTCTTTTCCCTTGCTTCAGGTACCAATCTGTAGAGCTGGCTTCAACTTAGATTTGCATTATAGAACGAATCATTCATCTCTCTTCATTACTGTAAGATTACGGTAGAAACTTTAAAGAGGGTTTTAAGGCCACATTTTGCTTCAGAAAAGAAACAAAACAGCCTGAAGACTTTTACACTAGGCTAATTAGAGTTGCTGATTATAACTTTGAAATTCCCAACTTATTATGATGCTTCGCTGAAGAGTTATGCTAGGAAGGAGGAAGCGGCCATTTTTTCAATGTTCTTATAAAGTGCGATTATACCGTTTAGAAAGCTTCCTAATCTTGTAAATAGTTGAGTACTGGACTCAGCGTCCATAAAACCCTACTACACATGTTTTCACATTTTTTTGAAAAATTTTGAAACGGCAGATTTTTCCACATTGATACCATATGTTTCAAGTTTCTACCGTAATCCTACAGTAATGAAGAGAGACGGGTGATTCGTTTTATAGTGCAAATCTAAGCTGAAGCCAGCTCTACAAAACGGTGAAGCAAGGCAAAAGCCTTCTTGGGAAGAAAGATATTAACGATCAAACGTTCGATACATTTTTTTGGGACACTCTGTATTTGAGAGT